AACATAGTAGAGATTCAATAGTGTCCTCACTAAAATTTGTATTGAATGCCTATTGTGAGCCAGGTAATATGCTAAATAACATTACTACTTATAAAATGATAGTCAAATCTGTGTTGGAGGCAAGACCTCAGGGAAATTACAGGAGACAGGGAGCACATTTGATGGGTTTCTAAACTTGAGTATGACAGTTATCGTGGGAATAGAGACAAGGAGTTAGACTCGAGGGCTAAGTCTAGGTAAAATCAAATTGATGATGGAACTTGGTAACATGTTTTATAACTGAATGTGGGACACAAAAAGCAGTTTTAAAATGTGGTTAAATTTTCTAACCAGAGCAAATAGATAAATGATGTCGACATAAACCAAGATAGGAAATACAGAAAAAAGAATAAAGAAGAAAGAAGGAAAGAAAGAAAGAAACAAACTAACTAACTAACTAACTAACCTCTTAGGTTGGGAATAATATAAATCTGGTTTTGGCTTTTTTAAATAAGATTGTTATATAAAAAATAAAAGAATATGTAAAATATTCAAGCAAGTTATGAATCATAAGGAAATGAATACTTGTGAGCTCACTACACAAAGACTGTTATTTCTAACACTGATGTTACCTGCATGCTTCTTTCCAATCCCATCCCACTATCCAGAATCCTTCCCTTCCCTTCTTCCCTTCATAGTTCTACCACTTGTGGATATATTCTCATATAATAAAATCCTTAATTTTCATATAGCATGAAAAACACTACTACTAATATCTGGTACCTTATGAGAATGTAGTACTCTAGTACCTAGTTATGTCCACTTTATATGTTTGTAGGCAATTGAGTTTTAATTTCTGGTCCTTGCCCTTTTTTTTTAAGATTTTTTATTCATGGGAGACAGAGAGAGGCGAAACACAGGCAGAGGGAGAAGCAGGCTCCATGCACCGGGAGCCCGATGTGGGACTCGATCCCGGGTCTCCAGGATCGCGCCCTGAGCCAAAGGCAGGCGCCAAACCGCTGCGCCACCCAGGGATCCCGAATTATAGGTGTTTAGTTCATCTACTCTTATTAATATTCTCCTTCTGATAAGAAGACTATATACTCCTTGAGAGTAGGGGCTATGTCCATCTTGCTCATCATATGTCCCTTAAATGTTAACATCAAACCTGGTATTCAGTGATAATTTCCATCAGAAACAAGTACTGTTGAGCCTCCTACTTCATGTGGGGTAGTGTATATATGGCAGATAATGCTGATATAATTGTGAGCAAAACATGCGGTTATGTCCTCATGGAGCTTATTGACTGTTGGGGGGAAAATATATTAATAAAAATCACATTATGGGCAGCTCCAGTGGCTTAGTGGTTTGGTGCCGCCTTCAGCCCAGGACGCAATCCTGGAGACCCAGGATCAAGTCCCACATCGGGCTCCCTGCGTGGAGCCTGCTTCTCCCTCTGCCTGTGTCTCTGCCTCTCTCTCTCTCTTTCTCTCTCTCTGTGTCTCTAATAAATAAATAAGAAAAAATCTTTTAAAAATCACATTATATATATTAATGGGCTGACTTAAAAAACAAATGATCTATATTTGCATTATTGCCCCCTGTTGACTTTATACATAAACACATACCTTTGCTTTTTTGTCTTATTTTTATTTTTTGAAGATTTTATTTATTCATTTGTGTGTGTGTGTGTGTGAGAGAGAGAGAGAGAACAGGGGGAGGGGGAATAGGGAGAAAACAGACTCCCCAATGAGCTCGAGGATGACGTGGGGCTCAATTCCAGGACCCAGAGATCATGACCTGAGCTGAAGGCAGATGCTTAACCATCTGAGCCACCCAGGAGCCCCCATATACACATACTTTTAGAAAATATATATTATTGTTTTGTTTTTCATTTCAGAGGATGTCTTTCTTTTTTCATTCCACGATATATCTTGCAGGATTAAGTAGGTTTATATCATCTTTTTAAAGTGATATGTCGTAGTTATTAGTATGGATACTTCATTTCCCTATTGTTGGACATTTAGAATGTTTTTGGTTTTCACTTTTGCATTATAAACAAGAATGCAACAGGTTTCTGTGTACTGATGCTTATTTATCTAGTAGATTCCAAGAAATTAAATTCCTAGGTCATAGGATTGCTTTTTTTTTTCATTTTTTGTTTTAAACACATCCATATCATTGGAATTCATGTATTATTTTTGTAATAAAAAAAGTAAAAAATAGAAAGAAGTAGGTAGATTTTTGTGTTGTTGGCTCTTAGGAAGTAGAGGTGCCTAATCATTGTCATATGACTATTATATAATCTGCTAATCATTATGTAATGAAATCTGAAAAGGATGCTTCTATAATTCCACATCATCAAGCAGAGAAATCTCAGACCTACAACTCTGCCTAAAAGATGAGAAATATGGCTCTGTTCAAAGACTTTGGGCCCTCTCTGATATAAAATGTCACTACACCTCAATGACCAGGGTTTCCTACTAGTAAAGCCTCCCTAAAAATCTATTTCCCTTTTGGCTGCCACAGAACCACAGAGCTGTAAGGGCCTTCTTAACAGTCTCATGATGTTTTGTGACAGTTTCCAAAGGACAGTTTTGAGTTGTTGCAAAGGCAGAGAGTTCTGTTGGACAGTTTTTCTCAGCTGAAATTCCTATAAACACCAATAATTTGCAGATGATTAAGAGAGGAGCTTAAGCCTGAGCTGATAAAGGATGAAGCACACAAAGATCTTGAGTACTGCTCAGATAGCAACAGATATAGTAGTCACTGCTGTTCGAATAGCAGGTTGCTGGTTCTCCAAATGCTTCCCTGTGAATTGTCACTGACTCCTCTGAGACAAGACCCGCTGGCTTTAGCTGGGGACACAAAGGCTAAGAGAGAGAATCCTGCATTCAAGGAACATCTGTGGGGCACATCCTGATCAGACTTGTGTAGAGCTCAGGGGAAACACAGATAACATAGATGAGTAAGGAGTTCAGGTCTTGTGCGGGTATCAGGCTTAAAATGAATGAATGAATGAATACATATATATTTTTATATTTATATTCATATATTATTTGAATGGGAATGGGTCTGGAGCCATATATATATATATATAGAGAGAGAGAGAGAGAAAGGAAGAGATGAGGGGAAGAACATTTACAGTGAGGGAACAGCATATACAGGCACAGAAGCAAGAAGGGTAGAAGAGCATGTTGGAGGAAGAGACCATGGCATGGAGTGGGCTCTGAGTTTTTTTAAACTAAAGATCTTTTTATTTTTTTAAGATTTTATTTTTTTGATAGACACCAAGCATGCTTGAGTTGGGGGAGAGGCAGAAGGAGAGGGAGGAAGCATACTCCTTCCTGAGCAGGGAGCCAGATGCAGGTCTAGTTCCGAGGATTCCAGGATCATATGATCTGAGCCAAAGGCCTTCCTGAGCAGGGAGCCAGATGCAGGTCTAGTTCCGAGGATTCCAGGATCATATGATCTGAGCCCAAGGCAGACAACTGAGCCACCCAGGCGCCCCAACTAAAGATCTTATTTAGAGAGAGAGAGATAGAGCGCAAGAGCAGGGCAGAGGGAGAAGAGACATAGAGAGAGAGAGAATCCCAAACTCCAGGTTGAGCATGGAGCCCCATGTAGGGCTTGATCTCACAACCCTGAGATGACGACCTGAGGTGAAATCAAGAGTCCTGCGCTTAACTGACAGAGCCACCCAGGGACCCCACTCTGAGTCTTCAACAAGTGTCTAGGGTAAGTTAGAGAGAATGATGATCCAATCGCAAATATGTTGGACAAGGTCTTGTGTATGTCAGGCACTTTGCAATCAGTAAGGATTCAGTGAGTGGTGACCCACAAAAGCTGAGTCCTCGGTGAGCTCACGGTTTGGTGGGAGTACATAGACAAATCCATGAGTCGAAGCCACCATGACTGATGCCAGTGTAAACCATTCAGGTACTCCAGATGTCTGGTGAAAAGTCACAGAGCAAGGAGGCTATATTTTGGCTTGGTCTTCCTCAACGCTGGCTTCCACTTAGGGACATCGAGGGCAGAGAGAGGTCGTTTCCTTGGACTTCACCCGGTTTTAAAAACAAAACATACCTAGATCTTTACTATATGCCAATTATTGTAATAATTATTGTAATAAGCTTTCCCCATGTGTTAACTCACTTGATTCTCACAGGGGTCCCAGCAGGCGGTAGTATTATTCCACTTTACAAGTGAAAAAGCTGAGGCTCTGAAAGGTTAGGTAACTTGCCCAGGATCACGCTGCCAGTAAAGTGGCAACAGCAAAGCTGGGAGCCCCGTTCTTAACGCTAGCCAGTGACATCAACAGTCCCCTCAAGGCTAGATTCCATCCATCTATGATGCTGGGGCTCTCGTTTGCTCTCTTTATTATTTTTTAAGATTTTATTTATTTATTCATGAGAGACACAGAGAAGGGGAGAGATAGAGAGAGAGACAGGCTCCATGCAGGGAGAGCCCGACGTGGGACTCGATCCCGGGTCTCCAGGATCGGGCCCTGGGCTGAGGGCGGCGCTAAACCGGTGAGCCACCCGGGCTGCCCTCGTTTGCTCTCTTTAAGCCTCGGTATTTGCGTCTGTAAAATGGGGCGAGGGCTCCAACTGTTAGCTCCTGCTCAGGTGCAGCCTGGAGCGCCACTCGTGGGCGGTGGACAAGGGACAAGTCCGGGGGGGCGGGGGCCGGGGATCACCCGGTCTGCGCTCGCAGCTCCCAGCCTCCACCGCCCGGCTCCAGACCCGTTCCCATGGCAACCCGGCCAGCCACCATCCTGGGGCCGGCGTGCGTCACGTCCGGCCCGTTTGTTTCCGGGTCTAGCGTCAGCCGCGGCGGCGGCCCTCCAAGCCCCAGAGCCGGAGCCCGCGACTCCTCGGCTCCTTCTTCGGCCTCCCGCTTCTCCCTCAGCCTCCCGTAACGATCGGCCTCTCCCCGGCCCAACGCGCAGCCGCGGCCCTGCCTCCCTTTGGGCCCGCCCCCTAAGACGTCACTTCCTGGCCGAGTGTTTCCGGGTCGCCGCTTGTCCCGGGGTACTGGCTTCGGTCCCCTGCAGCCGGCCGGAGCGACGAGAGCCCAGCCGGGCCCGGCTCCGGCGGCGGCCGCGGCTCCTTGTGGATTTCCTCGGCCGGGGCGTCCTCGGCGGCAGCGCCGGGGTGAGTGCGGGGCGGCCGCGGGCCGACACGGCCTCCGGCGCCTCCCAGGGCGCAGGGGGCGCCGACTCGGCGGGGCTCGGCCGACCCGGGAGCGGGGGGTCCCCTCGCAGCCCGCGGGGGCGACGGGTGGCCCCGCCTTCCCGGCATCCGGAGGGCCCAGCTGGTCCCCGGGATCCCCGCTCCCCCGAGGGCTGCCTCGCAGACTCCTGGGGCCGGCAAGGGTGGCCCGGGGCAGCTCGGGAGGAACACCCCCTCTTCGGCGACGAACCAGGCAGTTGGCCACCCCGAGCCCCCCGTGAGACCGTTACCGCGCAGCGGGCTCCAGCCCCGTCTCGGGCCCCAGACGTGGGTCTGTGCTCGCTGTGTGACCTTGGACAAGTCATTTCATCTTCTGAGCGTCGTTTGGCCTAATTTGTTAAATGGGCGTGAACGTGCCTGCCGGGGCCGTGGTGGGGGTGAGATGAGAGGATGCTGGTGAAGCGCGGCCTCTGGCATACAGCAGGCGTCCAATAAATGAGAGCTGCTGTCCGCTCATTCACAGACCCGGAAAGGGCCAGAGTTTGGGACCGGGGTATTTTTCACGACCGGATAGGCTCTCAGAGGCTGTAGGGATTACCAGGTGGGGTGTAATAGCAGCCTCCAGCTTCGGTCTCCGGCAGGGAGGGGGAGCTGCTCCCTTCAGAGCCCCTCCGAGAGGCAGCTGCCCGTGGGGAAGGCCGTGTCCAGCAGCGCTGAGGTTACGTTCAGAGGTTTGCAAGGCCTCTTTCTCTCTCTCTGAATTTCCCTGGAGTCTGATTGGGGTCTGGGGGACCCTCAGGTGTTTCACAGCCAGTGCAAGGTGCCTCCGCTGTGTCTTAGGAACCTCGGCTTTGGAATGAGTGCAAAGGAGTGGCGGGTCGGAGGTGGAGGGGGTTGAACTGCTGCTGGCTCTCCTCTGGCCGCTGTTTGGAGGCCGAGGGAACTCTGAACTGGCTGGAGCCAGACCAGAGATCTGTAAACCTGTGGACTGGGGCGATGCTGGGACCAAAATAGCTTCTGCCTGTGCAGGGAGGGGGCGCCTTCAAATGCTGCCTGGGGAGTGTTTCTGCTTGAATGGGCCAGCTGAGGTAAAGCCAAGCTAATGCTTTGCTACCTCCAAATCATTTCAGCTCCTTTCAGTGGGGTTTTAAACAGGTACAGCTTTCCTTTGGATGCTTAAAAAAATAATCATCGGAAAACTAATAATCCTTAAAAAGCTACCACCTCCCTGACTGTATATGTACTGTCTCTCTCTTCATTGACTTGTTTTTCAAAGGGAGTACAGATTGTGGGCGCAGGGAGTGCTGACCAGGCCTGTTGGCTCTGGGCACCCGCCTGATGCTGTTAGGGATGTTCACAGTGCCATTCCCCCCCCCCCCCCACCAGACTGGCACGTCATGGTGTTCCAATCTTTGGGTTGCTTAGAGAAATTAACGGCTTCTGTCATTGCGCTGTCTAGTCTCCTGTAACCACGCTGTTTTTGCAGAGAGCGTGTTTTTTGTTGTTCTTGCAGAGTGCTGGGAATAAATTGCTGGCTCTGTACTCAGAAAAGACACCAGCTATGACCAGCTACAATGCAGCCTGTAGTCTCAGAAAATGTATTCAGGAGGGATGATGTCAGCTGCTTCACCACTGGCCGGTGTCTGGCCAGCCTCTTCCCTTGGCCCTTGAGCTTACATCATAAAGAGATTTGTGGCTCTTCTAGCCCTGTTCTGTGTGGGAAGATGTGAATTTTGCTACTATAGGAATTTTTAGAACTCAACTCCGCTCTCCCTGCCATAGGACGTTCTAACTTAGCCCTTTCGAGTAGAGCTGTCCAGCAGATGCCACAGGACACCTTTTGCCTAGAAGCACCCCAACTCAGAGTTTGAGTCAGGGTTTTGGCATCGGACCTAGGTTTGGACTTCAGATTCCCTTTTTCCTGTAACTTAGGACAAGTGCTTCGGCCTCGCTGAGCCTCAGTTTCCTCTTTAACCTTGGGCTGTCCTGTGAGTTTCGTTGATTTTTATCAAGCCCTTAGCAGAGGGCCCTCATGTACTAATCCCTTGGTGAATGGTAGATTGTAAGAATAAATGAGTAAGATAAACAGGGAAAAAACCCAGGCCTCAGGGCCTGCCAGCTGAAGTTCAAATTACAGCTCTGACCGTTGGAAGCTTCTCTGGATTCATGGCCGAACTTTGGTTTCCTTCGAGCATTGTTGTGAGGATTAAATGGGATGATGCAATTAAAGTGGAAGGCCCTGTGCTTAGTGCGTAGTAGGACCTCAGTAATTAGTCATTTCCCTCTCCTTCCTTAATTCTCTCATAGTGTTCATTTCCTTTTACTTTTCTGTTCACCTACTTTTATTGGTTCAAGATTCATCATAGATTGGTTTCCTATCCTTGACTTCAGGATTTAGAACACCAGTTGGGCTATTCGGATTCCTTTTCCTTGTTTATTGTGTGCCAGCAACAAACAAGGGTGTGGACTGTGGTGTGATTACAGAGCAGCAGACGCTGAGCTTGAGGGTGGCTGACTTTGTTAAAAAAAAAAAAAAAATCAGCCTCTATAAGCTCAAAGCTGACTTCCTTGGAGAAAGATCACAGCAGTACTTAGGAGGTTTGATGTCCCTCTGTTTAAATTCTTCTCAGGTGTATCAAAAAATAGTCCCTGGGATGGACGTTTCTCTTAGATGAATAAAAAATGGTAAATACTTACAGGTTTTTATTAGCAAGGACTGACGTCTTTCAGGTTGCAGTGCATACTTTGATAAGAAGTTCTTTCAGCTAGACTTGAGGGCAGGGCTGTGGCTTTCCAACTGCTCCCCACTACCCACCCTACATCCCCCCACTGCACCCATCCTAGGGCCTGGCACCAGAAAGGTGCTGCATAAAATACTTGTTGAACTCAGGAATTGTGGGGGTATGGGGCGGAACACAGGTGCCACAAAAGGTCAGGCTTGGATTCTTGGGTTCACTAACTCTGGCAGCTTACAGCATGTCATATCATGGAGCCTCTGTCCCTTCTCTCTCCAGCTGATCTCCCGGGATTCTTGGAGAGCTCAGTGAGAAACTGAAGGAGTGGCATCGTGAATGCACCATTCATTTCACCTGTTTTCTCAAACACCTGCTGTGTGCCAGGCTGTGTGTTAGGCACCATGGAACAAAACAGATATGGTTTTTGCCTTTGTGGAGCTTCCTGGGTAATAGGGGGCACAAAGAGAGGAAGTTAGTAAATGAATAAATGTGATAACGTCAGAGGGTGATTATCCCAGGATAATGGGATAACGAGGGACTGGGAAGGTGGGAGTTAGAGCTGGGGTTGTCACTGAGGCCTCTGAGGGGTGACATTTGAGCTAAGGCCTGAGTAATGAGAGTGAGCCAGTTATGGGAAGGATCAAAGAAGGAACAGGCAAAAGGAACAACATGGGCAAAGGTCCTGAGATAGGAATGAGCTTGGTGTGTTTGAGGAACAGACAGAAGGGTCCCTGTAAGCAGAAGGGAAGGAAGAGGGAAGGGGAAGATGGCCATGAGCGGTGAGCAGGGGTAGACCGTGTGAAGCCTTTGACCTTTGGTCAGAAGGTGGGATTTTTATCCTAATGGACTTAGGTTTGCCCCCTGTGCCCCTCATGTGTATTTGTTCCTGAATAATTGGGCTCCCTTGGCAGGGCAGTGGGTAGGAGAAGGTGGCCTCTCTGTCCCCAGTTCTCTCGCACATCTCACCCCTCACCTCATAGTTAAGATACTCAGGAGTCTCCCCAAAAACCAGAGAACCCAGGCAAGTGGCTCAAGATGTAGATGATTTTATTGAGCTCCTGATTGCCACTGGATTCGTAGGCCTTTAGCACTTCCTGAGCTGAAGCCAGTTGTGCTAAAGGCCGACACAGGCCTGTCCCATCCCTGCAGCTTCCTTCTCGGTCCCTTGCTATGTCCACAGCCAGCAGCAGCCTCCTTCACTTAGACAGCAGATGTCTAGGAGGCACGTACCCCATGTCTGGCTCTGTGCTTGGGTTACCTTAACGAGTAATTCAGCTGGGATCTCTGTGCCCATGGAGCTTGTGGTTAGAATGGGCGAGGGTGAAAATGCGCATCCGCCACCTGGGTGGACATACTTGCCCGCTCTGATCTTACCTCTTTGAGAATGCTTGGCGTTGTGGCAGGGGAATGGCACCTTCAGAGAGCAGGAGTAGCTCCTCGTGTGTATCAAAGGCTTATTTCCAGCCAGCCCTCTGTGAAGAGCTCTCTGTACTGATTGCACATAACCCTTCCACCAATTCTGGACTCTAAGTACTATTATCAACCCCCATTTTTGGATGAGAACACTGAGGCCCACAGAGACTGAGTAGTTCACCCAGGTAGCCTCGAGAAGCAGACCCAAGATTCACACCCAGACAGTCTGGCTTGGGGATCTGTTCGTAACCCCTGTGCTGTGCTGTCCTCCTGGCCCTGGCAATACCCTCGATGAATCCAGATTGCTCCTGGCATTGTGGCACCAAAAATATTGCTTGCTCTGTGCATGTTCTACTAACTGGGGGCCAAGCAGACAGCAAGAATGTACAAATTTGGTGTACCCCAGCTCAGTATGTCTTGTCCTCTTCCAGTGGGACTGTGAACCTCTCCTAAGGTATAGGGGAATGCAGGCTGTCAGAGGCAGGGAAAATGTTCTCCAGGGGTCAGCAGCCAGCATGATCTCTCTTTAAAGTGCAGATAAGATCACGTCCCTCTCCCCCTTGCTTTGAACTCTTCAGGTGCTTCATGTGCCTCCTTGAATAAAATGTACAGTTGGGGCACGGGATCCTGTCCTGATGGTGCCTGCAGCTTCATCTCTGGTCACTCCCTTCCCTTCCCCTCGCTGCCTCAGCCGCATTGGCCCTTTTTCTGTTCATAGGCCAAGCTCCTTCCTGCCTCAGGAAAGCAGGGCGTGGTGGTTAAGGGCGTAGACTTTGGAACCAGGCTGCCAGGGCTCTCAGCTCTACCTCTTCGTGGTTCTGTAACCCTGGACACTTGTAACATTTCTGTGTCTTCATTTTTACATCTGTAAAATGGGGATCCTATCTCCTAGCGTTGTTTGAGAAGACGAAATGCATTCATATGCATCAGTGCCCGGTGCGTAGTAAGAGTGATAGTGTTAGCTCTGGGCCTTCCTCCCTGGCGACACTGCTGCTGTTACATTCTCCGCCCACCTCTGCTTGGCAAACTCTTCATGCTTCAAGCCTGTCACTGCCCAGGGTGGGGATGGGGGTGGGACTTTTAAAAACTTCTCCTCCCCACAAAACCAGGCTAGGTGCTTCTAATCATATCTTTATCTGAGTTCAACAAAGTCAAGGACCTGTTTGTCTTGTTTCCACTACAACTTTGCACATAGTCTGCGTTCAGTCAGTGTGTTAGCAGAATGGATGAGCAGAAAGGGGCCTAGGGCTGGTGATGCCTGGTGTGGCTCAGGCCAGGTCGGTCTGGTTTTGTCTCAGCAGCCACAAGCTGGTATATGGACCATTTCAGGAATGAAATGATGTGCTTCTTTTCTTCCCCTTCCAGAGCACGCCCCTACTCCAGGTGGGCAGCATGTCTGTGCTTTTAGCAATGGCCCTGCCTCAAACCCAGAAACCATGGAGGAGATAAGGTAGCCCTGCCCTGTCCCTGGATCAGATGGGGAAGCCCAGTTCGATGGATACGAAATATAAGGATGACTTATTTCGGAAGTATGTGCAGTTCCATGAGGGCAGAGTGGACACCACCCCCAGCAAGCAGCGGCCTGGCAGTGATGAGTACCTTCGGGTGGCAGCCTCGACCCTACTCAGTCTACACAAGGTGGATCCCTTTTATCGATTCCGGCTGATCCAGTTCTATGAAGTGGTGGAGAGTTCCCTGCGCTCACTCAGCTCTTCCAGCCTGCGGGCTTTGCACTGCGCCTTCAGTGTGCTGGAAACGATGGGCGTCAACCTCTTCCTCTACCCCTGGAAGAAGGAATTCAGAAGCATCAAGGTAAGGTCTAAGGAAGGGCCGTCCACACCGGTCTCCCTGGTTCACCTCCCGGTCCAACCTGAGAGGGCTTGTGCCAATTGCATGCCTCCTCTGCCCGCAGACCCTCCTGTCTTCCCCACTGCCTTTGATGTAACAACTAGAAGTACCCCCTCCCTGAGGCTCCTTGCTGTCTGACAAGTTGTCATCTCTTTACTGGGTCCCTGCCCCTTGCTGTCTGACAAGTTGTCATCTCTTTACTGGGTCCCTGCCCCTGGCAGCTCCCACCTGAAGCTGTGAGGTTGGAAAGGTAGGCAGCTCCCTGGTTATGCAGGGCTTTGAAGCCCAGGGCAAAGGGCTCGAATCTACCCTAAGTAGGCTGAGAAGCAAGGCAGGTCAGGGTCAGGTTTCCATTGGGAAAGTATCCCTCTGGCTGTTGTATAGGAAATAGCCTAGGGAGGTGGCGAGAACAGTTAGGAAGCTGCCGTGGATGTTGGAGTACTCTGAGAGCAGGTTTGGACTAAGTAGTAGCAGACAGGAGGGTGGAGGATGGATTTAAGAGAGAAAGAAAATTCTGAATCATTCCCAAGGCAGTGGTGGCTCAGGAGAGTTTCCACAAAGCCAGTCTGTTATTCTTCAGAACTTCGCAGAGATGCCAGAGAGGAATATTCTTGCTCATTGGGCGTTCTTCCCCCACTCTGATCCCTTCTCTTCTTGTGCATTTGCCCTGTTTCCTCCTCCTGTGGAGCAGAGCCGCTGAGCCCCATATGGGAAGCTGGTGGCTTTGTGCCCTCAGCTCAGGGCAGGAGTGCCGTGCGGCTCCCCTCGCCATGTGCTAGTAGCCTCCGCCTGCTGCAGTGAGGAGCTGCTGAGATCCTTCCTCCCCTCCTTGCGCTCCCATTCCGCCCTGGGCATACTGGGCACTGAAGCCAGCTCCCTGTGTGTCTCAGCAAATCGTGCCTCTCTTTTTCTGCTCCCTCCCTTCTCCTAGACCTACACGGGCCCCTTCGTTTATTATGTCAAGTCGTCTTTACTGGAAGAGGACATCCGAGCCATCCTGCATTACATGGGCTACGTGCCTGAGTTAGGGACTGCGTATAAACTCAAAGAGCTTGTGGAGACCCTCCAGGTGAAGATGGTTTCCTTTGAGCTCTTTCTGGCCAAGGTAGAGTGTGAGCAGATGCTGGAAATCCACTCACAAGTCAAGGACAAGGGCTACTCCGAGCTGGACGTGGTGAGCGAGCGCAAGAGCAGTGCGGAGGATGTGCGTGGCTGCTCTGAGGCCCTGCGGCGGCGGGCTGAGGGCCGGGATCACCTGACGGCCTCCATGGCCCGTGTGGCGCTCCAGAAGTCTGCCAGCGAGCGGGCAGCCAAGGACTACTACAAGCCTCGGGTGACCAAGCCCTCGAGGTCAGTAGATGCCTATGACAGCTACTGGGAGAGCCGGAAGCCACCCCTGAAGGCCTCGTTGAGCCTGCGGAAGGAGCCCATGGCACCAGACTTGGAAGATGACCTCAAGGATGAGATCATCCGCCCATCCCCCTCGCTCCTGACCATATCTAGCTCCCCCCACGGAAGCCCGGATGACCAGCCATCCCCCTCCCCCAACAACGGCCTCGGCCTCCTGCGTGGCACGTACTTCTCCGCTCAGGAAGACGTGGATCTGTACACAGACTCAGAGCCTAGGGCCACATACCGGAGGCAGGATGCCCTGAGGCCAGACGTGTGGCTGGTCAGGAATGACGCCCACCCCCTCTACCACAAGCGCTCACCCCCCGCCAAAGAGTCCTCCCTGTCCAAGTGCCAAAACTGCGGGCTGTCCTGCAGCTCCTCCCTCTGCCAGCGCTGTGACAGCCTGCTTGCCTGTCCCCCAGCCTCCAAGCCGGGCGCTTTCCCTGGCAAGTCCTCTGCCCACGACAGCCTGGCCCACGGGTCGTCTCTACGGGAGAAGTATGCAGGCCAGACTCAGGGCCTCGATCGGCTGCCGCACCTCCACCCCAAATCCAAGCCCTCCACCACAGCCACCTCCCGCTGTGGCTTCTGTAACCGCCCAGGTGCCACCAACACCTGCACCCAGTGTTCAAAAGTCTCCTGCGACGGCTGTCTCAGCGCCTACCATTACGACCCCTGCTGCAAAAAGAATGAGCTGCACAAGTTCATGCCCAACAACCAGCTGAACTACAAGTCCACCCAGCTCTCCCATCTCGTGTATAGATAGACTGGACCTGGCATCCCCTGCTCCAAGGGCTACAGCACTGACTTTCTGGTTTCCCCCCTGGGAAGTAGTGTTGATGTGTTGATCTCAGAAGCCGAGACCTGCATTTGACATGTAGGTGTCAGGGGATCGTGGGGTTGGCCGCATACCATGTGGGAGTTCCCATGGTGACCCAGATACTTCAACTGATGGCTGCTTTGTCGCCTGACAAGGGAGAGGGTGGCACTTCCGTTCAGATTCATTTTGCTAATCTCTCCACTCCCTATTCCGTTGTTTTGTTTTCGAGGAGGATTTCTGAGACTCTTGCCACACCCACCTCTTCCACTGCAAAGCCAACTTGGACTGGGAAGGGCCCTCCAGGTCACCTCCAAATGCCCACCTGGAGCGCCGAGCTAGAGGCCTGTTGGCTTGTGAAATGAGCCCTCCTGCCACACGGGGCCTCTTCCAATGGCTCATCCTTTGGCCGCCCCCTTCCCAAATACAAGGATCTCCCACCTGGATCCCCCCCCCCCCCCAACGCTGACTTCCACCTGTCTAAGTCTCAAGGGTGGACTGTGTCCAGTATTCACTGAATGGCATCCTGTTGCCAGCACAGCTCAGTGCGGCCCGTGGTGTTTGTGCACTTTGCTCCAGCGCATCGAAGTGTGGACCGTCCACGGCGGGATAGACTTTTCCCCTTTCTGTTGTTTGCACATGCCCCTCTTACTGTACTGTAAATAGATATTTTTGAGATTTATTTTTAAATAAATATTCAACTTGCCGTGTGTTTCAAAGTGGTTAAAACATTAATTATGTAGCTATTTATACAAATGACCTGGGTCCTTTAGTCTTCCAAGGGAGGGTCTCATGCCCTTCCATGTATCCTACACACACCACAGCCCGAGGGTAGGGCGGAGAGTGCGGGGGCAGAGGAGGAACAGACGATGCCCCTGAGCTGATGGAGAGCCACTGTCTTCCCTATAATAAATCTCTATATACCTACCTCCAGTGTACACTTAGGGGGCTAGTGCGGGCCAGGAGGTCTGTGTGCCTGCGGACTGTGATGACCTGGTGACCTTCAGGATCCTCACTCTGCAGATCTACAGCCTGGTCTTTGCCACTTGCTGCGTGTGAACCTTGCACTCCAAATGTCTCCAGTCTTGTTTCGGAAGGAAAAATCCTATGGGATTCCCCTGCCTCCTCCCCCGCCCCCAATCTCAGCCCTCTTTGCCTGTTTCCAGGACTCCTCTGCAACATCAGTGATCTTTTTGCACTAAAGTGGGCCCAAGTCAGCGTGTGCCCATCAGACAGATGTCTCCTGAGATACTCAGCTGAGCCTCAGTGCTTCCAAACCTGAGGGCCCCTTAAACTCCTCATGTGAATGACTGCCCCCCTGGATTTTGCTTTTGGGGTGCAGAGCAGGAGTGGGGCAAGAATTCGAAAAAAGAACCGCTTCCTTGTGAACTACTATATTTTAGCCATAAGTGTTTGTGATGTACAGAGTATTATAGGAATTTACATGCAGTGGGTTTTCTGGTAGAAGGAGGTATTCAGCTCTTGAACAAATTTAAATATGGCTGAATCCTGAGGCCACTGTGAATTTGCTCATGTTCTTCCAACTCAATTGAGTGATTTTAAGGTTTTCCAAATCTATGGCTCTTTTTTATATGTCTAGTAGAGCACATGTAGATATTCAATGTGTATGTACAGCTGACTTTCAACCACCTTTATTACTAAGACCAGCCCGTTCTGGGGTCATCATCTTTGACGTTCTTCTTTCCACATTTCCGAAGAGTCGATGCCTGTTTTACTCCCGAGAGCTCTAGTTTTCTAGTTTTCCATTCCCAGATCGCTCCAGCTCTACAGGAACTCTTAACAAACCGTGATGCCCGGTAACTTGTACGGAGGGCAGAAGCAGGAGTGCCCACCTTGTCCTGGGAGAGAAAGTCCGGCCCGCGTGTGTCATCACGGAGATACTGTGTTCACAGACTGGAATAGAAAATGCTCTGACCCTGTCCTTGGTGTGTACCTTATTGTATGAGGTTGCTGTGATTGAGCTGGATAAATATATGCTAATTTAAAAAGGCAGATGTTTTGCATTTGATTTCTACCAAGAATTGAAATGTTGAGAGATGATTTAAAAAATAATAAAGCGTCTTCCATTATTAAACCAAGTGTTTGAGGTTTTATGTCCCTCCTGCCCTGCTGCTTTTGAAGTTTGGGTTGATTGGATTTTTTTGTTTGTTTTGCTTAAGCTGCATCCTTCAATGACAGGACTCACATTTTCTCCTCCACGAACTGATATGTAATAATAGTCGGCATTCGGCATCCAAGTGCTCGTCCTGTGAGCCAGGTACTTTGTATGCTGAGACTTTACCTGCATGATTCCATGTAACAGTCTTCAGCCCCCTTGTAAGCTAGGTAGGTAGTGTTATGTATGATTCCCTTCTTACAGATGGGGAAACTGAGGCATGCCCAGTTCAGCCATGTTTCGCAGGAGTGGGACTCCAAACTCTAGGAGAAATGATTATTGGTGGTGATTGGCAGGCATTAAATAACATTGAAGGACATAATGAAAAAATTAATGACATCTTTAATTCTTTTGATTCATTTAAAAGCCTTAAGGAGGAAGTTCTTATCGGGAAGACAAGTTCAGTGCTAGCTTGTCTGGACCAAAGAGGAAGGAGGTGTTAGGCACAGAGCCTCAGGCTGAATCTTAGCTAGGTAATCAGTTACTTTCTATTTGAAGCAGGTTGTACTGTTTTCCATCTACAGCAATGATAGATCACTTCAAAAATCAATTTAAGTGTTTTTTAAAAGCAAGATGTATGGCAAAAATCTTGAGGGCAGTATACAAGCGGCTGTGGTTCAAGACATCCAGGCTCTCCGTAGCAGCACAGTCTCCGCATGATAGTGACCACTGTTGGGCTGGCCCTTCCAAGGCACCTCAGCCTTGTGAAATGAGCCCTCCTGCCACACCGGGCCTCTTCCAACGGCCCCAGGTCAGACAAAGGCCCAAGTGTTGGGTTTGGTTTTAGCTACAACATAGGAGATGGCACTGCTGGGAACGGCGGTTTCCTATAGGTGCACACCCAGTCCGGGAGAGCGGAGGAAGCCAGACACTCCTGCATCCAAAGCAGCGTGGTGACTTCAGAGCAGATTGCTTCATCTGTGAATATAAATGACAAGCATATTTAACATCATCAGGCCCACCAGCTGTCCGTTAGCTCTGCTGCCAGCTCTGAGCACCCATCTGTGGCGCCCCACATGCCTGATTACCAGTCTCAGAGGGATAAGGGCTGTGGCAGACATTTCGAACTCCTCACCCTTTCTCCCTTGGTAACAGAAGACCATGGTAAAGACTACCTTTCCCAGCTCTCCTGTGGCGAGGCATGGCTACATGGCTGTGTCTGGTCACTGGGACAGAGACGTGGTTTGTGTGTCTTCCAAGACGTGTTTTTCAAAGGATCTTGTCCTCCCACCCTGATCCTCCTTCCTGGCTGGAAGGGCTGTGCTGGCTGGAATGGGGCAGGATTTATTCCATCCTTGGCGGAAGCAGGGTAGCAGTTGGAAGGGGCCAGGTCCCTGGTGCTTAGGAAGCTGCCATCAGACCCAGCCTGCCCTGCCCACCTCCAGAATTCTTATGTACAAGAGGAATGAGCTATTACTTTGCTTAATCCACATTTTCCCACTTTCTCATTTAAAAAACCTTTTTATTTACAAACTTCATGTACCTTGAACCTGGCTTCAACAATTTAACAGGTTTTTTTTTTTAAGATTTTTATTTATTTATTCATGAGAGACAGAGAGAGAGAGGCAGAGACACAGGCAGAGGGAGAAGCAGGCTCCATGCAGGGAGCCTGAGGTTGGACTGGATCCCGGGTCTCCAGGATCACGCCCTGGGCTGAAGGCAGGCGCTAAACCACTGAGCCACCACCCAGGGATTCCCCAATTTAACAGTTTTACCAGGTTGCAGCCAACCTGGTTTCCTTTCTACCTGTCCATCCACTTCCCTCCTAAATTCCTTTGAAGCAAATTCCAGGCATCTGTTTCACTTGTGAATATTTCAGTATGTGTATCTAAAAGACAAGGACTTCTATTTATTTATTTTTTAAAGTTTTATTTATTTAATCTCTACATTGTGAGGCTCGAACTCACAACCCCAATCAAGAGTCACCATGCTCCTCCGACTGAGCCAACTCAAGACAAGGACTTTTAAAACACCATACCATTATCACATCTAAGTTTTTAGAATTCTTTAATAGCGATAGGTATGCAGTCAATGTTCTGATGTCTGGTTGCATAGAAATCCATATTTTAAAAACTATCAGTGCTCAAATAATTCTCCAAACTGCAATTGGTAGTTAGATCTTTAAATCACTTTTACCCTAAAGGCTGTCCCCACAGAGTATAGGGACCCCAGCTTTCTCTTTCTTTTCCCCTTGAAATGTTTTAGTTGAGCTGGATTTTTAGTCCTTCATAGTTTGTCAGAGATTGCATTTTGCTGATTGCAGCCTGCACTGTTGTTCAACACGTTCCGCTGTTCTCTCAGTCTCCAGAGTTGTGGTTCTTTTTTTTTCTCCATTCTTTATATGCTGCATGTTGTACAAAAGTAGAAAAATAAACTTTACTTAAGGGTACAGGGCAGGGCTGCATAAATAAGGGGTTGAGAGGAAATAACTTAAGGCAAGGGTGACGCTGGTGGCTGGATAAGGCCTGGGTCCCAGACGGGCCAGGGGCAGGTCCAGGTTCTCAGACGCACAGGTCTCTATTGGCAACACATTTCAGGTCCCGTGTGAGGAGGTGGAAGAGGTTGAACGTGATGGAGGCCTCGAGGCAGCCCTGGGACTCCTTGGAGGCCTTCTGGAGCCGGTGCAGCCAGTGGTGGAGGCGGCCCTGGGGCCTGGGGTCTGCTGTGGGCTGAGCCGGGACACAAGCCTGGAGCTCCGAGTGGATGTGGTGCAGCATGCGGAGGGGCTGGTCCAGGGTGACCCCCAGCGATGAGTCAGTCATGTTCTCCAGGACCTTCAGTGTCAAGTCTAGCTCAGCCTCCAAGGCCACGGGACGCTCCCAGGCCTGCAGGAGTCTCAGGTCCCTGGACCTAGGGAAGAGGCGAGAGCTGCAGCTCCAGTTCTTCCGGGAGAGCGACTCTTCCAAGGCGTCCTTGGCTTTCTTGAAGGCTTCTAGCTCCCTGGGTGACAGAGACTGGAACCTGTCCATGTGGCAGCCCCTCCTGGTTGTGGTGGGTTTGGAAGTAGGGACAGGGCCGGCTCTGGTCAAGCCCAGCACCACGGTCACCAGCACCAAGACCCGAGCTGTAGCCATGGCCAACTCTCCTCTGCTTTCCCTGCCGCATGGCTCTGCTTTTAGCCAGGCTCACTGGGCAATCCCAGCTGATGTATGTAAAGTGAAAAGGCAAATGAAAATTGGAATCTCCACAGGAGAGGCAGACATACGTAGGTGGGGCCAGTCCTGAACCAGGGGAGCACGTGGGGCTGGGCGAGGCTGCCTGAGTCACAGAGACCAGGTATCCCACAAGTCCCTTCCCTGGACCTGTGCCGAGAAGGAAAGAGAAACTGAAATTCACTCATAGGAGGACGCCTGGTTTTGGAGAAGTCCCTGTGCCTGGACAATCTTCGGATTAGGACCCTCTGGGGCAGCCTTCAGCTAGCTGGCTTTGGGGAGCCCCTTCCTGAGGCCGAGACCAGTAGAGGGACAGGAAAGTGGCTCCGGTGGGTTGCAGGCTGGGAGGTGCGGGTGAGGCTGCCGCTGCGGCAGAGAGGGCTTCCCTTTGAGGCACGTTTTGTTCACTGGGGTCCCCTTTGTCTACTTTCGCTTTGGTCACCTGTGCTTTCGGCGTCCTGTCCAAGAAACCCTTGCCAAACCTTGCATCCCGAAACTCTTCCCTGTGTTTTCTTCTAGGAGTTTATAGCGTTAGGTCTTACATTTAGGTCTTTATTCCATTTTAGGTCTTACACATGGTGAAAGGTAAGGGTCTAACTTCGATTTTTTGCATTTGGCTATCTAGTTCCTCCACCACCATTTGTTGAGGCCGTCCGTGCCCCACTGTGTGCTCTTTTTTTTTTTTTTTTTATGATAGTCACAGAGAGAGAGAGAGAGAGAGAGGCAGAGACACAGGCAGAGGGAGAAGCAGGCTCCATGCACCGGGAGCCCAACGTGGGATTCGATCCCGGGTCTCCAGGATCGCGCCCTGGGCCAAAGGCAGGCGCCAAACTGCTGCACCACCCGGGGATCCCTCCACTGTGTGTTCTTGACTGTCGTTGAAGCTCATTTGACCATATATGTGAGGGTTTATTTCTGGGCTCTATTCTGGTCTATAAATCTATCTTTATGCCAGTCCCATAGTATTTTGATTACCATAGCTTTGTATGTAATAGGATTTGAAATCGGGAAGTGTGAGAGTCGAAAATTGTCTTTTTAAAGATTGTTTCAACTATTCAGGGGCCCTTGAGATCCAAGATAAATGTTAGGACTGTTTCTATTTCTGCAAAAAAATGCCATTGGTATTTTGATAGGGATTGCATTGAATTGGTAGATTGCTTTGAGTAGTATGGACAATGTTACGATACTAAGTCTTCTAACCCATGAACACAAGATGTCTTTCCATTTATTTGTGTCTTCTTTTATTTCTTCCAGTAATGCCTTATAGTTTTCAGTGTACAAGTCTTTTGTTTCCTTGGTTAAGTTTATTTCTAAGTATTTTATTCTTTTTGATGCTATTGTGAATGGATTTGTTTTTGTGATTCCTTTTCAGATTGCTCATTGTGTATGGATAGAAGACAACTGATTTTTTATGTGTTCATTTTGTATCCATTTTGCAAGTTGGTTGAATTCATGTATTCTTTTTTTTTTTAAGATTTTATTTATCCATGAGAGACACACACATAGAGGCAGAGACATAGGCAGAAGGAGAAGCAGGCTCCCTGTGGGGGAGTCTGATGTGCGACTCGATCCCAGGACTCGGGGATCACAACCTGAGCCAAAGGCATAGACACTCAACCACTGAACCACCCAGGCGCCCTCATTTATTAGTTCTAACAGAGTTGTGTGTGTGTGTGTATGTGAAATGTTTAGGGTTTTCTACATAGAAGATCATGCTGAGAACAGATACAGTTTTACTTCTTTCTTTCGAGTCTGGATGCCTTTTATTTCTTTTTCTTGCCTAATTGCTCTGGCTAAGACTTCCAGTTCTGTGTTGACTTCAAGTGGCAAGAGTGGGCATCCTTGCTTTGATCCTGATCTTAGAGGAAGAGCTTTCAGTCTTTCACCATTAAGTAGGATGTTCGCTGTGGCACATACACTTTCATATGTGGCATTTATTATGTTGAGGTAATTTCTTTCTATTCCTAGTTTATTAGAGTGTTTTTATCATGAATGTGTGTTGAAATTTGTTAAATGTTTTTTTCTGCATCAGTTGAGGCAACCATGTGGTTTTTGTCCTTCTATAACTGAGGTACATCACACAGCAGTTGACTTTTAAGGCTTGCTCAGATTTGGGTCTGATTTGGGGGGAATAAGAATACTTCATAGATGTTGTATTCCTTCACTAGAAGGCACGTGATGTTGAATTTTCTCCCTTTGGAACAGTATCAGCCTTTAGGACTATTATTTGGTGCTTAGATCAGTCATTTCATTGGAAGTTGCAAAATGTAGATTGTTTTAGTATTCCTTTTGGCAACCAGAATACTTCTATAAAAAGAAACTTCCTTGTAGTGGTGTGACTCAACACATGTGATAAAATTGTATAGAACTAAACACACACACTCGCTCTCACAGGAGTACATGTAAAATTGATAGAATTTGAACAAGGTCTGTGGCTTGTACCAATGTCAGTTTCCCAGGTGTGATATTATTCTGTAGTTGTGCAAGATGTTACTACTGGGGAAACAGTACAGGGTACACGAGGCCTTTTTGTATTATTTTTTTGCAACTTCCTGTAAGTTTATAATTATTTTTTTAGAAGAAAAAGAAACTGCCATTAGCTGTTATTTGACCATCAGGAGTAGTTTAAATGAGATAAATGCTTAATCATTTGTTTTTATTACTATTTTTTTTTAAGCAAGCTCTTGGCCCAGTGTGGGGCTTGAATTCACAACTGGTATGAAGAGTCACATGGTCTACCAACTGAGCCAGCCAAGTGCCCCTCTTTGCCTTTATTTTTACTTAATGAGTTGATGCCTTAGGGTCCCCCAACAGTGACTATTTTTTAAAAAAGTATCATTAACTCATTGATTTCAGCATAGTGTGTGTATGTGTATATATATACATATACATATATATATACATATATGTATGTATATATTTAATTTCAGTATATTTCAAATACTTTAGTTCTTTACATTATTGCTATTGATGCTCAGATTCCTGTCTTTGGCCAGTAGGGACCTCTTCCAGTCCTACCTGAGTCCTTTTTTTTTTTTTTTAAAGATTTTATTTATTCATGAGAATACACAGAAAGAGAGCGAGAGGCAGAGACACAGGCAGAAGGAGAAGCAGGCTCCATGCAGGGAGCCCCACGTGGGACTCGATCCAGGGTCTCCAGGATCATGCCCTGGGCTGAAGGCGGTGCTATACTGCTGAGCCACCCGGACTGCCCGCTTCTAGGTCTTTTTAATGAACAGAGCTTACATTTTTTAAAAAACAAAATACATCGTAAGTTCATATTTATACTTTAATTAAAATTTAGGACCAAGGGATATTTTTACTTCACCTCTTTTCTAAGAATCTTGGTTCTCAAGGATTCTAGGAAAGCCATTACTGATTTTAATTTTGCCACCTATGACCAGACCTAATTTTGACTGAGAGGGAGTCTCAGTTACCCCCCGCCCCCCCACCACACACATACAAGCGAGAAGGGAAGGGTAACTGCTTATCCACTTTCTTGGTGAGACACATTTCGTTTGTTTCCAATCAGGTGCTATTGCAAATATTCTCACGGGTGTTTCCTGGTGCAAGAGTGTGTTAAGAATTTCTCTAGGGCAGGGGTGGGCAGGCCTTTTCTGTAAATGGCTAGGTAGTGAGTATTTTTGGCTTCGGGAGCCAAGAGGAAAAAAAAGTTATGTAGGTACTTACATAACAAGAGAGAAAAAATTTTCCATAAATTTTTTTTAAGATTTCTAAAATTTATTTGAGAGAGAGACAGAGATAGTGAGACAGACCATGAGTGGGGTGGCGAGGGAAAAGCAGACTCTCTGGGGTGGATCCTAGGACTCCAGGATCATGACCTGAGCCGAAGGCAGCCACTTAACAAACTGAACCACCCAGGCACCCCTTCCATAGATTTTTTTTTTTTTAAGATTTTTTTTATCCATGAGACACACACACAGAGAGGCAGAGACATAGCCAGCAGGAAAAGCAGGCTCCCTGCGAGGAACCTGATGTGGGGCTCGATCTCCCACGACTCCAGGATCATGACCTGAGCCAAAGGCAGTTGCTCAACCACTGAGCCACCCAGCTCCCCCAATAGACTTTTCATTAAAAAATTAAAAGCTTTATTTATAGGCATTGAGATTCGAATTTCATATAGTTTTCAGGTGATGAAATGTTCTTTTGAATTTTTTTTCAACCATTTGGAGATGTTAGAAACCATTCTTCACTCTCTGGTAGTACAGAGCGTAGGCAGGCAGGCTGGGGTCTGGTCCTCCGACAGTCGTCTGCTCCTGCTTGCTCTCCAGGGCATGGTCCTGGGAGGGGAATTCCTGGGTTGAAGGGTGACAGATGTCTTTAACTTTACTAGGCATTGCCAGATGCTTTTCTAAGTGATTCTCTCAGTTTGGACTCTCACCTCCGGTGACAGTGAGACTTCCTGTTTCCCGAGTGCTCTATCATATCAAATCTCTCCCCTTACTGCATTGCTCCTGTAGCTGTGGTTTCATTTGTTTTCATTTGTAATCACATTATGAAACGTGAAGATGCCGTGCAGTGTTCCTGAGTACTGAATGACTGTGCTTTCTGAGGGATAGGAAGGATATGCAAACAACAAGAGGTTTTAAGTTGCCGTTATCCTTCCATTCAGAGAACCAAAAACTTGGCACCTGTTCTTCTGGACCGTTTCCTACACACCATTAATTTAATTGTTAGAGGCTGATGCTATATATTATTGTTTTGGAATCTGTCTCCCTTCAGGAATTTGTATCCATTATTTCTGCTGCCAAGTGACATCCAGGGGATTATGGGGCCCTGACCTTTGTGTATGGCCCTCCCCCAGAGTTTTCTGGCCTCTAAGGAAAAACTCCCCTGCCCCGCTCCCTTCCACCCTGAGTGCTTCTCCTAGGAGTTGAGAAGAGGTTGAAATGTGAGCAAAAAATACCAGCTCCCTCTGGGGGGGGGCCGCTTGAGATCCATTCTCCTTTTACTACCAGGACTCCCTTGTCCAAGCTGACACTGCTTGGCACAGCTCCGTTGCCCGGCCTCCCCTGCAGCCAGCGGTGGCCTGAGAAGACTCCACCACAGTCCCCATCATTCCAGTGCCACCCCTCATCACACTCAGAGTTTGATTACGTAGAGAAACGTTTCTCTGAACCCAGGTCTCCTCAAAGGTGGAAGAGGGAGCTGATGAAGATGAAGGTGCGAGTGCCTCCCCGCCCCCCCCCCCCCAGCGGCTCCCTGCTCCCGACCCCAGCAGCATGTCTGGGCACCCAGTTTGGCAGCCCAGGCACAGCTGGGTCCCAGGTGTGATCTATTCTCCCCACTTCCTTCTTCGGCTGGAGGTGGGGGAGCAGGAGTGGAAGGCGCGGAGAGGTCCAGCTCTGGCTTCCCTGCCGGAAGGCCCGCACCTGGCATCAGCGCAGGCTGTCCTACCTGCTTTCACTTTCTAGTACGTGTGTTTTTGGTCTGTGCCTGTTCCCGTAAGCAGCTTTGGGTGCCATGTGGAAGTATGAGGGGGCAAACAGACTCCAGGCTTCCGGCAGAGCGTGCCACCACCTTCCACCAGAGACGCCTGGAGCTGTGTGGATTCAGAACCTGGAGGATGGACTGGCAAGTTCCTGCTTCCACAGCCTGGCAGAGGTGCACGGGGCTCGTCTGCAGTCCCAGCAGCGGGAGACCAGCAGCCCAGGGAGCCGTGGGGAAGACAGACTCTAGCAGCTGTGGGCTGGCTGGAAGCTGGGCCCGAGCTAGACCCTTCTGCTTGGCCTCACATCCTCCTCACTAAGGGGCAGGGGCAGGTATGACGCCCGGGGCCTGTCTGTTCCGAAGCCCACCGCGTGGCCTGGGCAACACGTCTGCCGCTGGTCCCCGGAGTCTGGTAGGTGCTGACAGAGCAGAGTCCAGGAGAGTGGGACCCGTGTATTTGCAGTGCCGCCTGAACACAAACACAGGAACTGCTCGGATCCAGCAGCATTCATTTTTATTTCTAAATAAATATCCAGTGACATTACTGTTTTCTGTTTCTGAATTCTTTACAGTCCAGTGAGATGAAGCAGGGGCTCCAGCACAGCAGCTCCAGTGCTCCCCCCTCTCCCGGCGGCCCACCTTCCCCTCCCCAGTCTGAAGCCCCATCACAAAGAGCAGCAAATCATTTCTCAGGAACCAGGACCTAACAAATACCTTTCACAACTTACACGTGGGAGGACAAAGAATAAGCCTGACCTTCTGAAAGGTCCTTAAAACAAATTAAAAAAAAAAAAGGTACTTAAAAAAAAAATCCTTCATTTTTATAAAGAAAACGAGTCAGAAGAATTCAAAGTTCTGATTAACCTTGAGAACAGATCAAGCTTGGCAGGGGCTGTTGTGGAGATGATGTGAAAGCCTTGGGGAAGCCATGAACCCTGAAACCTGGCAGCGAGCAAGGAGCCTTCCCCAGGCCTCTAGTGGTTCCTTAGAACAGGGCTGGGGCTTCTAGAAGGGACTAGGAGCACGAGGACGTGGCTCTTCCACAGGGCTGACAGGCTCCTGGGAGCACAGGCCCACCAGGGTGACAGGGGACCTTTCTCTTGAGTGCCCGTCTGCACGTTCCCTGTCCGGTCAGGTGGCCCAGCTCCGGCAGCCGCACTCACCCTGAAGTCGGGCGAGCTCACACCACAGCCTGGCAGGACCAGCTCACCGGGAGAAAGGCCAGGTGTTTGTTTCCCTCTGGACCAAGTTGGCCAGTGGGATGGGGTGGCCCAGGGGAAACTTGTCAAGTCTTCTTGATTTGTCACATGGCCAATGGCCACAGAAGTTCCTCAATATCTAACTACTTGCGTGAGAGATAGCAGGAACCTAAGCAGGAGGGAGTGTGGCTACTTACTCTGTGTAAGTCTTCCCTTTCTCCGGGAGTGTTTTCATTTAAAACAAATTGCCTGGGGCTTTAGAGACTGAGTTCCTAGGAGAACAGCTTCTTAATGATGCTGGCTGCCATATCGAGAACGAGAACGGTTCAGAGTTGGTTTCCTATACATGTCAACCAGCAAGAGAAACACAGGTCTGCATTCTGGAGGGAAGGGGGGAGGATCACGGTGGCTTCTCTCTCTCTCTCTTTTAAAGTCCTAGTTAATGGCAGATCATTGCTGCTGATTCTTCCTTGTGCTTGAATCAGGGACCAGTTTGGAGGCTTGCACCATTGACATCCATGACTTAGCTGATGAGAAGCCAGCCACCACCCTGCCTTACCCCACCACTCTCCCCACCAAAGCAGAAATGGGATCCTGGATGTGGCCACCCTGCTGAGGACTCGGCCAAATGCACAAGCCCCTGGGGTGTGAAGCTGAGACCTCACAGAGCAAGTCTTGCTGATGCCACCTCTGATGTAGGTTTCAAGGATAGGAGGATCCCCTGCTCATCAATCTTTCCATATTTCATGGCACACAGAGGAATCTGCAGGCCAACCAGGACCTCTGTAGGCTAACTTGGGGTATTCTGGGGGAGCCAACATTCTGGGCCAGGCCCTGCCCCTGGGCCTTACGTCAGCCAGGGCCTGACCAGCCCTTCTACCGTGAAGAGAGGTAGCTGGCCAGGGAGCAGGAGGTTTTTTGGTTCTGCTGCTGGGCTATCTGAGCACCAGACTATGGAACTCAGCCACCTTCCTCGTGCGTGGCCCTGGCTCAGCCCAGCCTAAAACTTGATCTCTGGGGACCTAAGATAAGCCACCTCCTTGCCCTGTAACTCCCCACACCACAAGCCTCAGGGTATGGTTTTCCCAGGGATTCTACAATGACAGGGCTGCAGGAGGGAGCCTTGGGTGTGGGCCTAGTTGCCACATGGTTCCCCAAGACAAGCACATCTTCTAAGTTCACTAAGCTGCCAGCTGCCTCAGAGGCACTCACAGACTTCACAGCCTTCACCCTCGCTCTGAAGTATGACCCTGTCTGTGTGCTATACCCCTCCTTCCCATGGGCTAGACCTAGAAGGAAATAAATATGTGGGAAATTGTAGTTATGCTAAATATTTTTTTATCTACTAGGCATTTTTTGCCCCCAAAAGTAGAATTATTAAATATGCTAAAGGCAGCAGCAGCAGCAGCAGCAAACTTCTGATTTTCAAGCAAAGACACTTGAAAAAATCCACCAGGAAAATGTATCTCCATGGGCTCTGCAGGTGGCAATGGCAAAGGCCAAGAGACAGACGTGAGGAACACGGGTTGCCCTTGTCCCCATGAGAATGGGCTCCAGCCTGCCAAAGCCTCACTTAGCCAGCAGGGGGCAGAAGAGGCTCTCAGGAGACCCAAGAGGTGCCAGGACCTGCCAGGAAAGGTGCCTCCCCCCCCCCCCCCCCCCCGGCCCACTAACCCAGACCTAGGGGACCTTCCACTTTGAGGACTCTTCTCTACTACACTATCATTTTCAAGTCTCTGCTAAAAGTGGGAGGCGAGACCTGGTGACGGGGCAGTCTGAATTGAGAAGGTGTTTCCACTGCTTTATCTGTGAATTCACAATCCCCGCCCCCTCCACATTTTCTGGGAAGCTATTGAGTTTGCAATGCAAGTTCCACTTCTGAGATCAGACCACAAACTTCAAAGGAGAAGGTAAATTATTTATGGATTGGAGAACACTCTAATCTCGGATCCCTGCCCTCTTCCTCCTAGGTGTGGACAACCGTCTTCTCCTTCTTTGACCTCTAAAAGTAGGAAATGATGGAGACCAGATTATACATGGTATTGCTCCTCCCAGAAGGTATTAGGTGAAGTAAAATACTCCTGTTTGGCTTAAATTACGGAGCTAAAGGGGGAGGTTCCAAAAAGAGAAATGAACGTATGTTAACCCTAGCAAGTACAGATTTACTTTTCATGCATAAGAAGGAAACCAAGTGCTTCCTGTCTGATTGGCCTCATACTTCCAGGAAAGGGGCTTGGTCTGGTGGGCTGGGCACCAGGGTCTTGGAGGGCTCTGCAGTCAGTTCTTCCTGACACCCAGGGCCATGCTGCCTGAGGCAGAAGGGATGGAAACAGACCTGCTGCCAGCCCAGGGTCCATGCTGGCCCAGTGTTCCTCACACAGAACCAGGACACAATGAACAAAACCACCCAAGAGGGTGCCGGGTCCCAAGGCAGGGACCCTGAGGCACCTAGGGGAGGTGCCACTGGCCCATAGATGGGCAAAGGCTAGTGGGTATGAGGTTTGTTAAGGGAAGATGAGGAGGAGATGTGAAAGTGAGGAACTCCACTCCATCTGGATGTGACTAGCAGCTCCTCACCCTGGATAGCCAAGGGCCGGGACCACAGGGACAGGGCAGGGGGTGTGCGTGTGGGAGAGAGAGACATGTGCAAGCCTCTGTGAGCGAGTTCTGGGTGGGAGTGGCAGGGGAGGAGCACAGGGCACTGCTGCTCCGGCCCCTACTCAGGGCTTTGGTGAGCTGGGACCCAAGACGGTAAAGAACCGAACAGGGAAGAAGGAAATGATTAGCAGTGAAGGTGGCAGCAGGCAAAGAGTGGGCAGACCCCACAGAGCCCAGGAACTGGGGCCTCTGGACCAATGAGATCCACTGGGTGAGGGAGGGAGGTGATTGCCAGGCTCTCACTATGTAAAAGTGCAGGAATTTAAACTGAACTCAAAGACCACCGATGCCGGCTGCATAAGCCCTGTAACTCTAGCTTCTCCCTCCAGAGGGCGCTCTGACCCCACAGACTGGGCTGGCTAACCCCCAGAAACCCAATGCAGCTTCTAATGGGGTTCCTGAGAAGGACCCTGTGTCCGGCTCTGCACCAGTGTAAACATTCACACTATTCCCAGAGGAGGGCAGCAGCTGCCTGCCACCCAGGGAGACAGCCCGCAAGGTGCCAGTCCGAGGTAAAGAAAAAGGTCACTGGTTTTTCCTTTTCAGGGAGTGCAAGCAACAACTCAAAGGGAAGTGTGAGGTTTTCCGGATTTCTGAGTCCACCACTTAGGTCAGAACTGCTGCTGCTGAGACCAGAGGCACCTTGATGACCAAAGGGAAAGGGTGGCTGGCTCCCTGCACTGCTGAACAGACACCCATTTGGGCCACAGCAGGGACTCCTGTGAAGGCCGTGGCTGAGAACAGCAGAAGCTGCAAGCCAGTGCTCCCCCAGAACCCCCAGTCCTGGCGGGCTCCACAGCTGGTCACGGCTTTTCTTCTCAGGCACCTCAGCTCGTCAGAGGACTCTGCACCCTGGCCGCAGAAGCAGAAGGGAAAGTTTACCTGGACAGTGGGTCCCTCTGGATCTGCGGGCTGGGAAACAACAGAGCAGAAGTCTGGCTCGGGGAGGCCCGGAGACATGACCTACTTCAGAAGCAGACAGCTGGCTCCAAGGCCCAGGGACATCTGGTTTCAGAAGACCATGGCCTTTGCTTCACCCTGCTTCCATCTTCCCTGAGGCTGCGGCCAAATGCAGCATCTCCGGGGCCCCTGCTGAGCATCTGTCCTGAGAGCCAAGAGGCCGCTGGGCGGGCGCCCTGCTCCATCACAGCAGCTCCTGCTCATCATCTTCGGAGCCCGAGGGGCCCTGGCGCACCTCCTCATACCACTTGTTGGTGAGGGTTTTCATCTGGATGCGTCCATGGTGGAGGTCCTGGGGCAGGAGACACAAGCAAGCCCTGGTCAGTGGGTCTGGGTCAGGTCAAGGTTAGGAGGGGGAGCTGCCTGTACCTTGTGGGGGTGTGGGAGAGAGATGGGAGGAAGGGCACAGGGCCGCAGGCAACTTCAAAGTGTTAACCAACTCAAGCTGGGATTCTTCTCTGGGGGGTGGAGAGGACAGGAGGTGTCACTCAGAAACGGGAGTGGGAGGCAGGCTGGCGTGACGTTCAAAAACCTGGCTTCCGGGATCAGACACCCCTGGGCTCTGCTGCCACCTTTGCTGCGTCTTGGCTATGTGACCTCAGGGCGGTTACTGCACCTCTCTGGGTCTCAGCCTTTCCAGCTGTCCAGCAAGAGAACAGCTGTAGCTACTACACAGGTTGTTGGGAAAATGACACGAAGCAATAATGAGATACATTCCCACAATGACAGAGACCATGACTGCCAGGGAGGAACACGGGCTCAGAAATGAAGTGCAGCAGACCCAAGTTGGGCCCACCAAGACTGTGTCACTCACAGTTCAGAGGCCAGCAGTCCCCGGGGGGATGGAACAACAGCCCTGAGGCGCCGGCATGTTTGAAATTTTTAGCTCCGATTCAGTAGCTGATCAATGTTCTGAGTCTATCATCCAGGAAAACCAAGCTGTGTTAACAAGTCTATTATTAAACTCACACTACAAATGGCAGTGAGTGGGGAGCGAAGAGCAGATGCCGAGCCCCACAGCATATCCAGCTGCCGGCCCGGGAAGTGGGGAGCAGGGGAGGCAGCCTGGCAGGCCCCTCTGCCCACCCACCGATGGCCCCACAGGGCCTGAGGGTGGAAGGCTAGGGACCCTGAGCCATGTGGTGCATGCTGGGGTCCCACCTCCTGAGTCAGCCGCCGCGTGAAGAAGGGGTTCAGGTACTTGGCGTCCAGCCACACGAAGCCTTTGAGGTCCTGCCGCCTGATGTAGTGGGCTTCATATTCCTCCTCCGTGAGCTCTGACAAGTGCTCTGACTCGATGGTATTGCCCTGCGGCCGGAGGGAGGTCGTCAGCTGGCCTCTTCCTGGGAGCTCCTACCCCACCCAGCCTACCCAGCAGCCCTCCACTTCTGGCCACCAGTGCCCCGAGCCCTAACTGTGCTTTCGAATCAGTGCAGGGTGTCTGTAGGTAGCAGAGAGCCTCCTGGGAGCCCTGAGGGAGGTGGAAAGGCTTGTAAAAATACAATGGATACCCAGAAATAAATCAGAATCATGAATAAATCAGAATTTATTTGTGGGCTGGGGTTTGGTCTGTAAGCTTTCCAAAGGTGATTCTAATGTGCATGCAGGACTGGGAATTGCCATTCTCGGTGATTTTGTTCCCAGCAAACTGAACAGGGCAGGCTCCTTTTGTCACTTGTGCCTGCAGCTGCACTAGCTGTGGTTCTGTTCTGGGCAGGTGTTTGCCGGTCAATCAGTGGGGATGGTGGTGTGTGTGTGGGGGGGCAATCTTGGTGGGAAGCAGAGAGGAATGAGAGTGACCACCCTCTGGCAGGACAGGTCTGTGAGGGTAGGAGGTCTCAGGGTCACTGGATTCATGCTAGCACAGCTCTAGCCCACTGAGGAGGAACAGCCCCACCCTCTGAAAGGAGGACCAAAGGCCACCAGGGTGTGAATGCAGGAGAAGCCCTGAGGCCACAGCCAAGTAGCCACCACTGGGGGTTTGGGGGGAGGTGCAGCTGCGGGGGCGGGGGGAGGCAGGGAGAATCACCCAGAAGGCTTGTGGTTTCAGAAAATGCAGCCCCCCCCCCCCCCGCCCCACAGGGTTCTCATTAGGCAGGTCTGGGAAAGGGCTCAAGAATTCACATTTCTAACAAGCTCCCAGTGATGCTGCTGGTCCAGGGGCCTCCACCTTGAGAGCGCTGATGGAGAGCGAGATGGTTAAGAACACAGACTATGGAGTCTGTGTGGCCTCTCTGTTCCTCCGTGCTCGTATCTGCAAAATGGGGATGAGCAGAGAGCACCTGCCTCCTGTGGGTGATCAGGGCGCCCCGGGACAGTAGGAGGAGAGCCTGTGCCACAGAAAGCACTCCCTAAATAGCATAGGAGCTCCTCTTCCTCTGGGCAAACATCCTGGTTCCCCTAAAGCCGGGCTTCAACAAGGGTGGCTGCAGGGTCACAGGGCAGTGGCACCTGGCAACTTGCTAAAAATGCAAATTCTCTCTGGTCCCACCCAGCCCTGGAAAGCCCTAGAGCCACCACTGGTTCAGATACCCAGCAAAAAGTCTGAGAACCTATATTGGGGCTTTTGTGAAGAACAGACAAGAAAGCTGGAGGATGGGGGTGGTGGGAGAACAGCCTCTGTGAGAAGGTCCTGCTGAGCCAGGCCCCCCCCCCCCGTGACACCCCCTCTCCCCTGTGGACCTCTTTCCAGCAGGGCCTTGGCTGAGACATGGCTGCAGAGAGACCTGTGCTCCCCACTGAGAAAGTGGGCTGTGTCCCTTTCCCACCATGAGGCCAGAGGCTGGCAAACAACTCACAAGGAGCCTCAGGACTCCAACCTCCTTCTGAGGCTGGCAACTGGTGTACGTGTGTGTAGGTACTGAGATCCTCAAATCGTGTCTCATTTCCCCATTTCCCAGCTGCGGTGCAGACCAAGCCCCCATCCCATTCCCAGGCCCACGGGGCACTGACCATCTTCTCTGTCTTGCTGAGGTTGACATCCTTCTTGTTCCTGCGGCGTGCCTTGGCATCCTCGATGTCCATGAGGCGGATGAGGGGCATGGTGCTGCCGCCCAGCAGCAGGATGGTGAAGAGCACAATGATGATGGTGGTGGTGCCGATGAGCTGCCGCTTCTCCATGGGCTCCAGGTCCAGGTGCAGGCTCAGGGCGTAGGGGATGGCCCCTCGCAGGCCTGGGGGAAGATAAGGGGGTATGAGGACATGCATAGGGCGTAGAGAGGAGAAGCCGCATCACTGACCAGGTGCTCTGGGGATACGGCCATGGCCCTGCATCATGCCAGTCGAACATTCTAACACACCCGACTAAAGAGGATGAGCTCCTCCTGTGAGGCTCTGGGGTGTGAGAAAAGCAGGCCACAGAGAAGCGGGGCCTTAGCTCATCCCATTTCTCCTTCACAGGGTGGCCAAACAGGTCAAATGAGGTGACCTGTCCAGGCCATGATGCACTAGGCGTACATGCTTGTGTGAAGATTTATGCAGCTCAATGCTCACAAAAATACTAGCATGGACCAAGCCATCCCTGTGCATAGGTGCCAGGCCCTGTACTAAGGGCTTCACATGTACAACCTCGCTGGAACTTCACAGGAGGCTGGTAAAGCAGGTCCTACAATTCTCCACCAGATATAGATGAGGAACCGAGACTGAGGGAATGAAGCGTCCTCCTGGGACCACACAGCCTTTCAGGCAACAGCCAAGGAAGCAATTTATCCAAAGGCCCCTTGCTTCTGAAGATGCCACTCTTACACAGCTCCTGGCGGCATGACAGGTCCTGGGCTGCCCTGCTGCTGGCCAGAGGCTGTGGGGGGAGCTGCGCCACTGCCTCTTCCTTACTTCCTGCTGTGGTGCCCAGCAAGGCTGCTGGCTCAGCTGAAGGCTGCACAGAGCCAGAGCCGGAGAGAGCATTTTCTAGGAAACCTCCTAACTTGCCTGGGGCCACACAGAGGGGAGCTTCCAGGAGGGGAGACCCCAGACAAGGACTTGTCACACGGTGAGTGCCAGAGAAGGGGAGAATGGGGCAAGGCACTCAGTGGAGGATCTGACCCAAATATGGAGGCTGGAGCATCACAGAATGAGGGGGCTCTGATCAAGCAGTGCAGGCCCAAGATAGGGACAAAGACAGGGGATGGAATTAAGAGAGACAAGGAGAGGGGAAGGGCACAGACGATGGCGGGATGTCCTAGGAGGGCTGTGCTACACGGTGGACGGGGCACAGGGTCTAGAATCCAGCTCCTGGGTTCACCACCTTGTGCCCTGCTTTCCGCCCAGGTGTCTCAGGCTGGAGCGATGGATTCAACTCCATCTCTCAACCTGTCACATGAGACTAAACACAGGGCCTGCCAGGTTGGTGGCCTGAGGAGGAAATGCTCAGCACAGGACAGATGTACATGCAGCAAATATGGAGTTAGCCATGCCTCTGCTGTAACACACATTTCTCTGTTCTCCATGGAAGGGGGACGCTGGCAAAGAAGAGGTTGGGCAGGAAGGCAAATTCAGTCCTAGACAACAAGATTGTGGTGTTTCCATGGCATCAAAGGAGGATTTCAACATGGGAGTCAAGATTTAAGAGCAAACAGCTTGGGCAGCCCGGGTGGCTCAGCGGTTTAGCGCCACCTTCAACCCAGGGCGTGATCCTGGAGACCCGGGATCGAGTCCCAAGTCGGGCTCCCTGCATGGAGCCTGCTTCTTCCTCTGCCTGTGTCTCTGCCTCTCTCTCTCTCTCTTTCACTCTCTCTCTCTCTCTCATGAATAAATAAATAAATAAAATCTTTATTTATTTTATTTTATTTTTTTTATTTATTTATGATAGTCACAGAGAGAGAAAGAGAGAGAGGCAGAGACATAGGCAGATGGAGAAGCAGGCTCCATGCAGCGGGAGCCCGATATGGGATTCGATCCCGGGTCTCCAGGATCGTGCCCTGGGCCAAAGGCAGGCGCCAAACTGCTGCGCCACCCAGGGATCCCAAACAAAATCTTTAAAAAAAAAAAAAAGAGCAAACAGCTTTGGGAGTGTGGGAACTTGATGGAAGTGGAGGCCACATGATGGGTGAACGTGTGAGAACACAAGAGCAGAAGCAGGCCTGGGGCTGAGTCCTGAAGAAGCCAGTGTTGAGGGTTTGGTAAAAGAGGAGGGGCAAGCCAAGGAAACCCCACAGGAAAAGGAAGGCAACCAGGAGGCCTAGGAAAGAAGATCTCCAGGCAGAAAGCAGGTCAGTAGGAAGAAGCAGCTCAAAGCCGAGGAGGTAGGCTGGACGAGGGCTGCCCTGTGCTCGCCAGGTTTTGGCTGCAAAAGGTTGCTTTGTGACCCGGGCAAGGCCAAGTTCAGGTCCATGAACAGGAGGTGAGGAAGTGGAGAAAGCAGGTGAGGACAGTCCATGTCAGGAGGTCTGGCAGCATTGGGAGATGGGAAGCAGCTGGAGGGGGTGTGCAGAAGGGGTTTGGGTTGAAGTTCCTGTTTTTTTGCTGAGAAAGAAAAGAATCTTTAAAGAGTTTCAATGATGATGTCTCAGTAGAGACAGAGTCTGAGGATCCAGGAAAGAGAGGGCAAAAGCCTGTGGCAAGAGGGCTCAGGATGGCCTGGGAGAAGCACCAGGGACCAATGGTCCTCACTGTTTAGAACAGCGCCCCATTCCCCACAGAGGCCTCTTCCCATGCCCACTTCTCCAAACAGCTCACGCTACTATGTAAAGTATCTGATACATCTCTGACATTTTCTTTGAAATTTTTAAGACCTTGGATCTACTACATTTTTTTTCTTCTTGGCAAAAAAGATTGAGCAAAAAGTTTCTCTTGCTATACATACATACATATCTCACACACACATACATATGTATATATTTTAAACAAGGCCTTTTGAAAGGGGAGACATATCTGTGAGAAATTTACAGATACGCTGTTGGATAGAAAACAACTTATAAAGCATGTTGCTATACCCCGACCCACATGGAATATTTTAATTATAATATTTAAATAAGAAGGTACAAAGAACTGGATGTATTGCTCAAAAATAAATTTAAAGATGCCTCAGGATCCAGTGTGTTAGGAGCCAAAGATGAACTCATTCCCATCCTTTAAAAAGTAGAGGAATTTGCACAGAAACTTAGTGTTCCAATCAATGCTGAGAACTCTAAAGGAAAAAAATACCTAAACCTAGCCTGTCGTGCAAAAAAAGTTTCAACTTGAACTTTCTTTATTTTGAGCCCTACACTACTTGCAGGCAAGTCAAAGCTGCTCCTTGTGCAACCTGCCCCAGGCTGCCCATCTGTCAAGAGGAACGTGAATAGACAGTAAATTCTGGCTCTGCCTCCTGTTCATACACAAACCCAAGTGAGTCCTTTGCCTTAAGCCTGGGCTTCCTCATGTGTAGAACAGATGCACATTACCCATTTATCTCACAGCATGGAGCCTGTGAGGAGTACTGTCTGGAAGGGGCTCGTCCGGACCCTGTTAACCAGGGGATTGTAGGATTTTTGCCTTATGAGGTGTGGCCGTTTTTCTTTTTATTTAAAAATTTTATTTATTTGACAGAGAGGGAGAGAGTACAAGCAGGGGGAAGTGAAAGGCAGAGGGAGTAGCAGGCTCCTCATGGAACCTGACACAGGGCTTGATCCCAGGACCCTGGATTTATGACCCGAGCCGAAGGTAGACGCTTCACTAACTGAGCCACCCTGGCACCTTGAAGCGCTCCCATTTTCTTTTTCTTTTCTTTTCTTTTTTTTTTTTTTTGAGGCACTCCCATCTTCAAAGGGCTCCAGCAGATAGCCACATGCACTCTCTATACAGCGTGTGCCTTTATAAGAGGCATTTTCCTTCCACTGTTCATTCAACATTGGACTTACCACTAAACCACATGATGAACATCATCTTCGGTGTGATTTTATGATCACGGAAGAAATTCAGGAGGTAGGAAAGAGGGAAAATGTTTACTGCTCTGCCAAACAGTACAAGTACCTGTGAAATAGCAACAAATGAAGTCTTAGACAGAAACCTCTGGTCTTTCAAGATGAAGCTTGTTGAAGCTAACACAGACCTTGTGACACACCCAGAATAAATGCAGCCTTCCCCTTGGCCATGAAAGACATGAATGATAACGCTAGGCAGAGACCCAGCTGGGGCATGTTGCTCTAGATGCTGGTTTCTATGAGTCTGGGAAAGGATCACACTTTGTACAGTATGTTGCCATGGCCAGGAAGAGAGGACTAACAAGTATTAAAGCCAGCTTTAGTTATGACAGTAGAACAAAACCAAATGCCAAGAGGCCATGCTAAAGTATCCAGAGACTAATTTAAGGTCATTCCCACTCTTTCCAAAGGTGCTCCACCATGGGACAGGCCCGAGCTAATCGTTCCCAATGGGCTAGCCCTGGAGGGACAGACAAGGCGTTCCTGCCTCTCCTATGGGCGCCCCACTCCTCAGGGAAAGGAGGAATGACTGAGAAGGACGTACACCTAATGCTCGTAAATGCTGCTCCTCAAGCAGAAGGAATGTGTAGGCAGGTTCTAGAAGGAGGTCACATGCACCCTGCCTGGACATTTGCTTGCCACAGCTTTGGGTTCCTACCCATCTCTACAGTCTTAACAAAATACAGCTTTAGGTAAGGTTTAAATCTTATTTAATTGGATGCCTAGAACTACTTATTAATTTGCTTTTTTCAACTTGGTTCTCACCATAACTAACCTAATAACATGTACACAATATACACATGTACACTTGGCAGGCTCTAAGTTTCAGGGGCAAGGAAATGGAGACAGAGGGTAAAGGACTGGTCTAAGAGGACCTAGGCAGGAAGTAGGGGAGCCATGTCCCAAACCCAGTCCGGTCTCCAAAGCCCGTGCCCTTGACCACTGAGTGAGTCTAAGGTAATGCATCTGAACAGCACTAGCCACCTCCAGGAGCGGGAGGGAGCTCCCACTCCAGCACATCTTCTCATTTTCCTTTTGTTCCCAGCCCACGGCTGAGGGAGCCACTTCCGTTTCACCCACTGAAATCCAATCTTTCATCCCTGCACTTGTGTCTCAGGTTTGACCAAACGTGGCCCTTTTACCCAGGGACCACACTAAAGACTCTTACACTTTTGGGAAATGATTTTGGCTGTCCTCTTTTGTCCTGAAACTTGAGTTTGAAGGACAGATAACAGTGACAGAAGCAATGAGCTCTTGCTGACTGAGAGGGGGAAGCACCCCTACTGCAAGGAGAAACACTGTTTCCAGAGGATTCTTTAGCTTCTCCATGGCTTGGTTTCCCATGTGCCAAACAGGTACGCCTCACTGGTTTGTACATGGTAGGTGACAGTGCTTAAAAAAGGTGTGCCTCTCCAATAGCTGGGTTCTGTTAAGTGGCATTGGTAATAAAAGTTAACTGAAGATGAATTATGATAATTGATTGAGCAACGGTAAGGCGTGCTTCTCATGTGTCTTAAATTGAAGGTGGGTCTCAAAGGACAACAAAGATCGAGTTAGGGATTACAGCAAGAATCAGCAGGCAGCAGGCCCCTGGGAGACAAGCTCACAATGAGGGGAGAGACCTGGGAGCACCAGGCTAAATGCTCACAGGTCAGAAGCCATTCATGTCACTTTCATCAGATGCCTGAGGAAGCTGGACCTTTGTTTTAAATGCTAAACATTTATTTCCCCCAAAAGATTTGATTCTACTGTGAATGATTAAACTTTTCCTTTCCTATTTTATTTATTTATTTTTTTCATTTATTTTATGATAGTTACACACACACACACACAGAGAGAGAGGCAGAGACAGGCAGAGGGAGAAGCAGGCTCCATGCACCGGGAGCCCGATGTGGGATTTGATCCCGGGTCTCCAGGATCGCGCCCTGGGCCAAAGGCAGGTGCCAAACCGCTGTGCCACCCAGGATCCCCGCTGCGCCACCCAGGGATCCCTCCTTTCCTATTTTAAATTAATTAGTTAATTTATGACTTAATTTGTTAGTTTATTAATTAGCTTAAATTAATATTTTAATTTGTCTCCTCTTGCTGCCCTGAGTCCAGGGATAAGCTTCCCAAACCTTCTGAATGGCAAGAATCACCTCGGACAACTGCTCTGGGTAAACCTCTGGGGAGGTAAGGGCCTGGTAATCTTTACTTTAAACAAGTGTCCACGGTTATGCTCAAAAATGGACACATCTGAAGAAGGCCACAGCAAGAAGTAAATATATGCATTATAAATTATTGAGAAAAAGTAAAAAAGGAAAAGAAATTATCCCCAATTCTACAACCCCTGTGAACATTGTGCTATATTCTTTCACATGGTTTTTTCCTCTATGCATGATGTTTTTACATGGCTATGATCAAGTATGTATTAAATTCTGAAATCTGCTTTCACCACCTCACATAGAAACACAGGAACTTGTATGTTTTAGAGAAGATCATAACCTTTAAGGCCGTTTAAAATTCAAAAAGAAGCAAAAATTCTTTTCCAGGGATATTCATTAATTCCATCCCTCCTCCCTTTATTGTATGTTTATGATTTTTTTAACAAAAGAAACTTTAAACAGAAGAGTGTCTATGTAGCTGTTGACTTTGAGCAGTTAACAGTTACATAAATGAATCCAGAATATGTGGTTATTGATCTACAAAGAAGTAATTAAATAAAAAACAAGGAAAATACTTACTATGCACCAGATGACAAAGGAAATTTCAAACTTGTGAGGGAAACTAAAAATGGACAGGCCAAGAAATGCAAACACACATGTTTCTGAAACAAACCAAAGAATGGATTATTCAGCCCCAACTATTTTCTTCTAACATGGTACTCAATCATTAAAGCAAGCAAACATTTCATGTAAGTCAGAATCCACTATAACAACTTTGCTTATTTTCTGAAAAATCCTGCACCTGATGCCTCCTTGGTGGAACTTGTACTTCGATTCACTCATTCTTTTCTATCCCATGAGCCACATGTGCTTGCTTATTCAGAATCTCCTCATTTAATGAGCCAGCTGTCAAATACTCATGCAAATAAATACTCTCCAACCGGGGGAAGATGATAAATACATGAATCTGCCCATTTGTCAAACACTGTCATTAGCGAGGATCCTGACTGCAGCAAAGTGGCAAAAATTCAGAGCAAATGACTGCAGATACCACATAACCAGTGTGGAAAGGCCCTCGGTTAACTTCCTTACCAGGGCAGACAAAACTAAGTGAGTGACTTCACACATTTGATGCTGTCACAGGTTTGGAAGAGGACTTGTACCCGCAGGATCTGTAGGAAGAGAGGGGGATCTCCGACTCTCGGCTTCCATCCACGAGGCAGACAGAGTCGGATCCCTACTCTCTGTGCCAGCAAGCCCTTGTGTATCTTAAGAAAAAGCACCGTATGAATTTCTAGCACTAAGCTCCCTGCTTACAACATCCCCCAGAATAGGCTAATAATCAGGGAGACAAAGACTGTATTTTAAAAGAGTTGAACATCATAAAATAGAAAGGCTGCTTTAAAATATTTCAGCCATGTTTTTCTCTAAACACGTATCTTTTTAAAACAAGTCTGCAAGCCGGATAGTATACACACCCTTCTCCTCCTTGAATTTTTTCTTATCTAATATTTTTGTGATCTTTCCAAATCAGCTCATTCAGAACATATTTAGATCTATGTTATGCTTTTCCGTGGTGGCATAAATTTCACTATATTGACTGTCATGGCTAACTGAACAAAACAAATCCTCTGTCAATGGACACTTAAGCTGCTTCTATTTCTGATGTTAACAGTTACGACAAATATCCAGGCTCAGTTCCTGAGGGTAGCACTGGAGGGTCAAAGAGCACACGGCTTTGAAACCCTGCCTGATGCTGCAATGACTGTACAAGAGATGGCATCGGTGCACACGCCTGTCAGCAAGGTCTGCTTTCCAAATGCCCATATCGGAAGTGGGTATTAGCAAACTTACGATATGCCAATCTGATGAGTACAAAACAGACAGGTGTTTTGCTTTACATTCCTTTAACTGCGAGTATCAGGTTCAGAGACTTTAGCTAGGGCTCTGTGAGTGGGGGGCTGGGGTAAAAAGACCCCCTTGGCCAGGAAGAGACAGACCTGGATTCCAGACTCACTTCTTAGCTACAAGACTGAGGGCAAGTCATCTGAACTCTGGGCACCTGAGCACCCTAAGGCTGCAGAAGGAAGCTTCTGCACAGCCTGCCCCTGCCTCCTAGGATGTGACCGTGTGGAACTGGTGCTGGAAAATGAGACGCACCCTACTGCAGTGCCAGGGAGATGCTGATGATGACAGCTGGGCACAGTTACCTGGTAGGCCAGTGGAAAGGGACCGTGTGAGAGTGCATCCTTTGCTGCCAGATATAAACCAGGGACAAGGTGAGGGAGTACAGCAGAGTGTGGGGGAGCAAGAGCCCACGCTGCAAGAGCTTCACAGAGAGAGTTCTTGTGGTGGACCCTGCCCAACAATGACTGTGCTGGCACACGAGCTCCCAAGTTATGCTCTTCGAGCCACTCTTGTGGAAAAGGGGCCTGTGGATATGCTGGGGAAATGCTATGATGTGTGTCAGCTCACAATGCTCTTGCAGTCCCCAAACTGAAACTGCATTTCGCCCAAGATTTTCCAGATTCTTGTTGACTGTTGGGTCTTGTCCTAGCTAACTCTCACCGATGCCAATGCCAGGGAATACATTTTTGGAAATGTCACTTTACAACATTACAAACATAGGAGTCTCCAATATTCATAATTAGTAGTTCTTACTGTTTGTGTTTTTAAAATCGCAGGCATCAAATGTTCTAGAAAGTTATTAGGAGTTAGGTTTACATTACGGAATTTGAAAGCCAGAGTAATAAACAGAAGATAAGGGAGTGCAGTATCTGGCTTGAAGGAATTCTGCTGCCTCTCCTGCCAGGGGAAGGCTGAGCAGCCTCCCGAAACGGTGTAGCAGAGCAAAGGCTGTGGGCAGGCCTGTGCAGGACCACACAGAGGCAGAACTCACCGCACAGGAAGGCCACGGTCCGGAGGGTCTGCTGCATGAGGATCTGGGTGACTGGGGACAGGTTATGGTGCGTGTAGTGGGACATCACAATGCCCGAGAACAGGATGGCCATGATGCCTAGAGAGAGACCAAGAGGGAAAGCACAGAGTCATGAACAGCACAGAAGAGCACCTGCTATTTGATACACAAATAATAGCGTATATTTTCTGCAGGTCACTGGACCCTACAGTGTTACATATATTCAGAAAAGGAAAAGAAAAAGCGAAGAAAGTACTACCTGAGGCCTCCTGGAGGCTGCAGAGAAATGCTACAGGCCCCCTATCACTGGCAGCGTCCTTACCAGCTGGGTGACCTCAGGCCAACCTTCTTTACCTCTCCAAGCCTCAGCTCTCTCTTCCAGGCAGGGGACTAACAGCAGCTTCTCGTGGACCTGCCAAGGGGGTACTGGGAACAAGTGACTCTCACCCACAGACAGAAACAGGGCAGGTGAATCACTCTTGGGGTAGAAAGGGAGTGTAAGAATCGGGATGTGGAGACTGCGTGGACTTTCATTTCTTTTCTAATTTTCACCTTAATCACCATAATCTTTTATTTTTTATTTTTATTTTTTTAAAGATTTGTTTATTTATTCATAAGAGACACGCACACACAGAGAGAGAGAGAGAGACAGACAGACAGAGACAGACACATAGGCAGAGGGAGAGGGAGAAGCAGGCTCCCCTCAGGGATCCTGATGTGGGAATTGATCCTGGATCCTGGGATCATGCCCTGAGCTGAAGACAGATGCTCAACCGCTGATCCGTCCAGGCGTCCCCTATCATAATCTTTTAGATTACAAAGAGGAGTGACTAAAAAAGGATATGTGTCCTTTCCTGAAAGCTCTTCACGGGAGTCCACACCTATTGCCCACTGCCCCGATCATTCCCACAGTGCTTTGTGTGGATGGGTTCGTCTGTTACTGCTGCTCTGCCTCGGCAGCAGCAAAGGGGTCTCACTGTCATGTAAGGAAGCTGAGATGTTTATAAAGTCATTAAGTAAGCTGCTAAAATGGATTACAAGTGAAAATTTATAAGCAAAGTTGTAGCTCACGCCTGCCACTCTAGTGACAAGGATGAATGGCTGACTCTCCAGTTAGAAAAGGGGTGAAAACCACTGAACTGTAGTAGAGACATTGCAAGAGCTCAGCTTGCATTCTCAATACCATCCCCACAGGGGCAGGCCTGCCACCTTGTGTGACCCACCAGGCACTGCGAGCCTGTAGATGGGAGGCCTAAGTGGTGACCAACCTTCCTTCTAGCTTTTTGAGAGATACTAGAAAGCTGTTTCTTATGGGAAATCTCCCAGCTTTTATTTATTATTATTATTATTTTACCTTTCTTTTTCTCCCAGCTTTTAATGATAGCAACTAACTTAAATGTTAACAAAATTTCTGTATAGATAAACAAACCACTTCTGGAGGCTGAATTTGGACTCTATGGAAATGGGTCCTCTGGCCAAAGCAAGAGTAAACAGCCAGCCACCACATTTTACCCTGGGTTAGTCTAAGGTCAGAGCATCTCTTGAGTTCTGAGGTTTAAAGGAAAGAGTCAGCAGCATCAGAAGTGGGTGCAAAGGCCCAAGGGACAGTTCAAGTGTCTGCCCTATGAGCCGTCTCTCAGCAAAGGTGGCTTCTCCATTACCCAGACTACCCTTATCCACTGTAGCTGCCACCACACAGGCTGTAAAAACACCAGTGGATAAATGGTGTAAACAGGCTCACTTGTAGAGATAAAAGACATGGGTATTTTTTTTTTAAAGATTATTTATTTATTTGAGAGAGAGACAGAGAGCAAGTGAGCGAGAACAAGTAGGGGACAGAGACAAAGGGAGCAGCATACTCCCTGCTGAGCAGGGAGCCTGATGGGGGTTCAATCCCAGGACCCCAAGATCACGACCTGAGCTGAAGGCAGATGTTTAATTGACTAAGCCACCCAGGAGCCCTAAAGCATGGGTATTTTAAAAAATGCCCTAAGGAAGAATTCCCGACACATGTATTTCTTTTAGAAGGCAAACTCATTTGAGGAAGTAGATAATAGTGCAGCAAAATGCTAGCTTCTTGGAAGGAAGGTAGGAAGGAAAGAAGGGAGGGAAGGAGGGAAGAAATCCATTTCTAGTCTCAGTTAAATCCATTATTTTAAATGTAATGAACAATGATGATGAATAGACTCAAGTCCAAAGGCAGAAGGTGAAGGGTGGTCCTATCAAGGTATAACTTCTACTGTATCGTACCTTTCTGTGGGTAAAATATGAATTTCCTGAAGGCTGGATCAAATCACAGTTAGTTTTCTTTGTTAATTACCTCAAAATAAACCCATTTTTCTATAAAACATCCAGACTCAGAGGTAGAGTAAGAGACTCTCCATTCACACCACCTCACCCCAAATTAAGTTTCTGATACAGGTTGCCAGTTCTTTTCCTAAGCCATAAATCTGTCTTTAAAAGGCAATGAATAGGAGGATCACATTATGTATGCAGCATGGATTATCAGCAGAGGGATTTTTAAAAGACCTCCAACACTTGCCTGCCTTTGCACACATAACAGAATCCCAACTCCTGCCCAGGACTAGAGAACTCTGTGGGCCGGGGTCCCCGCCGCTCTGTCCCAGCCACGATGGACCTCTGCTCCTCCTGAAGTGTGCCAAGCTATCTCATGGCAATATGGGAGGTCAAGCACTGCTCAGGAATCATGCCCTGGGCCCTCCCTCCCTTGGCTGCCTCCTTCTCACCATACAAGCCTTAGCTCATGCACCACCTATTTGAGGACCCCCTGCTGCAGGACACACCTGCACCCATGCCACTCTCTATCACAGTGCTCTGATTTCTCTCCTTCCTGTCACTTCTTCATGCCCTGAAAATTATGGTATGTGTTTGCTTACTTGCTTCCCATCTTTCTTCAGCAGTTGGGAACCTGATCTGGTCTTGTTTATGAAGGACAGCCCCAGTACCAAGGACAGTTCTCAGCCCAGGGTTGAATGGATGGATAAATGGTTTTCCAACTTTCTTTCTTAAAACTTAGCAATATATCTTGGGAGTTCTTTCCACGGCAATACAAATAGGTTAAGTTCACTTAGTGGCTGCACAGGATTCCATAGTAAGAGCCTACCCAAACTTATGTAATCTTTCTCTCCTGTAAATGAACATGTAGTTGCTTCCAGTTTTTCTCCCATAGGCAGTGCCACAAATAAAGGACTCCCCTGGCTGTGTACACGAGGGCTGCACGCTTTCTACCTTTGGCCTACGTTTTCCCAACTTGGCACAATGTGTTATATCCTGGTCAATCTTGCAGATTCACCCTTCAACCCCCAAGTCCCATCCTCTGTGACTCGCCATGACAGTGGTCGCTCTGCCCCAATCCCTGGCAAAGGTGGGGTCTATTTATCCCAGAATCTTTAGAGCCAGAGGGCAAAGTGGCCCCTGAAACTGGCCTCAATAAACAGAATAATTACTGTTGATAGAGTTAGAAAAGATTCTGAAAAGGGCTAACACTTACTAACTCATGATTAGAGGGAGAATTTAATTTGCTGTTGAAGCCAGGATGTTTGTGAGAGTGAAAGGGGGTATTATTAGTTTACATGTTGGGGGTACTAGGGCCAGTAGGGTATGTGGTCACCCCAGCATGCCTCTGTCAGAGCTCTTACTTGCATCCTTCCCTTTAATCCTCACCACGAGCCTCGGGGTGGCCCTTTTATAACATCCATTTCATGAGGAGGAAGTAGATGCTCAGAGTAGATTAGTCAGTTGTGTGAGGTTACACAGCTAACGAGAGACGGGGCTGGGATTCAAACCCAGGTCTGTCTGGCATCCTTAACTGCTGTGTCCTAAACATATGGTTTGGGTGTGAGTCAGAGGACAGCATCCTGCTCCCTATTCTTGGGAACTGCTCACTCAGTCATTTGTGACAGGAATAGTGCAGCATGAGAAGGAAGGGGGGACATCACCTTTCCCACTGTGTTCTCACAGCAGGACTAGAAGGTCCTCCCAACGCACCCGGGCTATCCTAACCTTGTCTGAGAACCCAAAGACAAACAGGGGGAGAGCCCAGCCAATCGCCTAGACATGGCCAAGCGTGCTCTTGGCTTGTGTGTGCTGAATTTGGCTCCATTGGCTCATGTAGCAAAGGTCCTTAAAGAAGTGAAACCGACAAACAGAAAACACAGCTTCTTGGAAGACAAGAAAAACACACCCTTGTTTTAATCACAAATTTGAAATGGATGCACAAAATACATCTTTGCCAACCAGGTACTCACCGTTCATCTCAAAGGGGTGTGGAGCAATTTAGAAAAACAGAGGTAAAAATAGCTAGGCTAAAGCCAAATGACTCAAAGGTAATATTTATGTAAGTGCCAAAATTCGGGACAGATAAGAGAAGGAACTTGATGACAGATACCACGATGAAATTACCCAAGAGAACTGGCTTGGGAACAAATCAAACTAAGAACAAACAAAACCATAAGGTTTATAACGAGTTCTCCAGTGAAAATGGCCAGAGTCCTCTCTGCTTCCTCCTTGGCAGGATCTGCTCGCAGAGTACCTATATGTGATTCTAGAGAGTGACCTGCGGGCAGGAGATTTCTGCTCAACAGTCATTAAAAACCACTGGGGACTTCCACTTTGCTAGGCAGACTGCTGTCCTGCCATAAACAACTAGAAAACCTGCTAGAAGATGTGAAACGAAACTGTCTTCTGACGTTGGGTACTGCAGGATAGGATCGTTGGAAGGGAAACATTCCTGACAGAAGGGAAACAAACAAAGTGGCCACTTCTCCTCCAGGCCCCAGCCCAGCTTCTGCCCTGACATAGCTTCCAGGTTGAGGCTTAGGGAGGGGAACTCCAAAACCAAGCCCAGCAGGGTTGGTCCAGCTAAGAGGAGACAGGTGAAAGGAATAGGCCAACATTCCTTTCGAGGGACTCAAAGCAGTCATAATACCAGGAGGAAAAAAAAAAAAAACAAAACCAGGAGGAGGGGCCACACAGAAACAGAGCTCTGGAGAGCTACCAGAGCATCCCCCTGAATCTTGTACTGTACTGGTCTGTCCATGTGTGGGGTGAGATTCCAAGAAGCTAGGGAGACAGCCACTAAAAAAGAATAGGCCAACAATTCTTGAAGCAGACACAGGGCTGGTAAGTTTGTGTTTGCCCAGGCCAGAGTGAGGTAACCTTGTAATAGATGAGCCAGGAGGGAGAGGCCTCGGTAGGGCACTGCGTTACCTCTGGGCCTGCCGACAAAATCGAAAAATCAACCCCAAAGGGATTAAAGTGATTCTGAGAAACTCAGATACACAGCAGAAGAAAACCCCAAATTCTGCGAAGAATACAGTAAAATCTAGTATTCGACAACATAATAAAATTTACAATGACTGGTATTCAATCAAAAACTAGTAAGCAAGCAAAGAACAGGAAAATATGACTTATAAGCAGAAGAAAAGTGAACTGACCAAAGACAACCTAGAATTGACAGAGATGATGGAATTAGCAAACGAGGATTTACAGCAGCTGTTATACACATGCTCCATGTGCTCAAGAACGTAGACAGTAGGGCAGCCCGGGTAGCTCAGTGGTTTAGTGCTGCCTTTAGTCCAGGGCGCGATCCTGGAGACCCAGGATCGAGTCCCGCATTAGGCTCCCTGCATGGGGCCTGCTTCTCCCTCTGCCTCTGTGTCTCTCATGAATAGATAAATAAAATATTTTTTAAAAAATGACTTAAGGGGAACTCCTGTAGATGAATACTATAATATTTGAAGTGGAAAATACACTGGATGCAACTAACAGGACAGTGGGTGTAGCAGAAAAAAAGATCCGTGAACATAAAGACATAGCAAAAGAAACCAGGCAAAGTAAAGCACAAACACCACAGGTTGAAAACAATTAAAAAGGCCAAGTGTATTATGGGATGACAGTATATTGTTGATCATTTCAGTAACTGAAGTTTCAACAGGAGAAGAGATGGGAAAACACAAAAAAGTGTTTAAAGAAATGGGTAAAAATTTCCCAAATTTGTGAAAAGCTATAACTTCATAAAGTATAAACCCAAGAAGCTCAATGAACTCCAAGTAGAATATAAAGAGGACTATTCCAAAGTCCATCAAAATCAAATTGCCACACAACTATCAAAATGGCTAAACTTTAAAAAATTAAAATAAGTGTCGATGAGGACAGGAAGTAGCTGGAACTCTCTCATGCATTCTTGTGGGGATGCAAAATGGTCCAGTCATTTTGGAGAACAGCAGGCAGTTTCTAATAAATATATACTCACTGTATCACCCAGCCACCTCACTCTTAGGTATTTATCCAAGATAAATGAAAATATGCACACATGTTCATAGCTAAAATCTGGAAAAACTCAAATCTCCTTCAAATGAATGAATAAAATGTAGTGCAGTAAGAGTGTATAAGCTACTGACAAGTGCAAAACCATGGATGTCTCTCAACAACATTACTATAACTAAAAGAAAGGAGACACAAAAGTCTATATACTACGTGATTTCATTTGTAGGACAATCTGGAAAAGGCAAAACTATAGTGATAGAATGCAGCTCAATAGGGGCTGGGGGGCAGGCCAGGGGATTGACTGGCCCTTGGCGGTCTGACCCCATCCTTTGAGTGAAGGCTCTTTAGATGCCATATTCTGGGAAAGAGGCACCACTGGATGAGTATTTTGATCTCTGCTACAGGACAGTGGGTGAAGAGAAAACATGACCATGACAACACCGAGACCCTGAATCCAGCCAGACCTGAATTGACCCAGGTCAAGGGTCAGTAAATCCCCTTTGTTGCTTAAGCTTTTGAGAGTTGTGACTGTCTCTTGTGATTGGAAGAGACCCCACTGGGATGCCTGGGTGGCTCAGCGGTTAAGCATTTGCCAATGGCTCAGGGCAGGATCCTGGAGTCGCTGGATGAGTCTGACATCAGGCTCCCTGCAGGGAGCCTGCTTCTCTCTCTGCCAGTGTCTCTGCCTCTCCCTCTCTGTCTCTCATGAATAAATAAATAAAATCTTAAAAAAAAAAAGGGACCCCACTGATCTAACCTCTTTCACCAGGCAGGACAACATGCCATCAACCCCAGCAGTTCAACGTTTCTGTCACTTACCCGAGAGCGAGATTCCTTCTGCGAGCCCATAAGGAAGATAAGCAAAAATGATCATCATGCCAAACTCCAAGGAAGGCGTTTTCCTCAAGTCAATATGCTTTAGCACGTAAATAACAGTTGTCAAGGAAAAAGAACCAACGGACAGTTGATGGGAGATGTAGACAAGTCACAAAACTGCTGCCTTCCAAATATATAGGGTAAGCAACGGATGTGAAAGGCTTTTGAACATCCGAGGGTAACACATGAAAATCTGTTTTTTTTTTTCCTTTTGCAGGCAGACTGTTGTTTTAAGAAAGGGAATCGGACAAAACACCAACAACTGTAAATTCCTGAGACAAATGGTAGGGATTTATAAATGAAAATCAACGTAAGTCAACTCATTTAAAAATGCTGACTTGAAAGGCTGACAATGTGCCAGAGCTACGGGGACAAAGCTGGGGTTGCTGGGGCAAAGCTGAGGAAGCAGCCAGATTGAGGACAGCCCATGCTGCCAGGAGGGCCTGGGCTTCCGGGGCTGCACCACCCTTTATCCCTTCCTCTGACGTCTGATGAGACAGCTGACGGAGTGGCCAGAACTCTGGGGTAAAGTACCCCACTGAAGGACCTTCTTTCTTTCCTATTCCTGGAGATTTCTAAACTCTTGCTCCTATGAAAGGAGAGTCTTCTCTCTATTCAAATACAGCCCACACGCCTATGCTGGAACTCACTGAGCCCATCTACTTGGCTTCATCACCGCCGAACGTTCTCCATTCTCCCTCCCCTTAGAGAAAGATGAATATGGAGGAAAATACTGAACTAGAAAAAGTTCTTTTCCATTCTGTTTATGGTATAATATGAGAAGCTGTCAGCCAACAATAGAGCCTTTAGACTTCTGGACAAAGGAGGTGAAGGAAAATTCAATAGGACGGCAGACAAGCATGCCTGTCATAGGCAAGGGTGGCTCTTCCGGCCATCTGTGGACCAAACTGCTCATGGAGGAGGGCCAGGTGGCCAACTCCCTGAGACGCAGGCTTGGGCTCCCACAGAAATGGTCTGGTGCCTGTTCCTATTTTAAACATGATGAATTTTCTACAGCGATGAAGGTGTCATTGGCCTTAATGAGCCTCCTTCCTCCTCTGGCTGGAACAGCAAGTGTATGGGCTGTTGAACAATGCAATCCAGCGTGAATACCTTGGATGGACTCACTTTGCAAGTCTCTTTTCTGGACCTCCAGATAATCACTTTCAGTGGGGTAATAAAGACTTCCTCAATTTAGTATTTTCAGAGGAAATTAATTTCCAGTTTTCTGACTATGAAAAAGGAGACAGTGGAAACGGAAAATCTTCTCAACTGAGAAGCAAGCTCCCACAACAGTGGGATCTGAGAGCCAATGGTGTGTGTGATCAAGACACTCTGAAAAGTGAGGCCCTAAACTGTACACGTCACATCTAAAAGTGGTTGGATGTCAATGAAAGTGCTCCCCAAGCCAAAACCACGTAAAGGTCCTTCAAATGCAGCCTTACACTAAAACTGGCCTCTTAAGCAGGGGGGTGGAAATGGCTGGAAATGAATCTAATTATGAAAATCTTCTCAGCCATGCTAGTTCATCATATTAAAAGGATATTAATGCAGAGATTAAGCCAGTGAGAGTGCCGAGTGCTGCTGAGCCAAAGAACATTTTGAGGAAGTAGCCAAGGGCTTGTAAAAATGTTTGCCACCCACTGACATCTGACATATTTTTCCTTGTTAAACCTTCGGCTGTGCTAGGAAATAAAAGAAAAACAGAAAGAAGTTAAAATGTTATAGACAAAGTTATTAGAAATCCACTAAAACCCAAAACTGATTTTTTGCTTATGCGCTCCTTCATTCCTTCTGCCACTGGACTGGGCCACTTATTGGTTCACCTACTTTGTGAACTACCACCTACTGTTACCTTCCAGGGTGGGGAGTAGGGGGCAGGGGAGTGTGTGGGAGGATGTTTCAGGGAGGAGAGCAGAGGACTTGCTCTGCAGGGGCTCCTTCAGCCTGGTAAGGAATATGAACAAGGCGGAAACAAATGACCACCTCGGGGAAGGGCAAAGGGCTGCAGAAACACAGGGTGGGCATCTAACTCAGCTGGGTGGTGCCTAAAGGAGGTTTCTCATGACATGCCGGCTGGCTTCAGAATTGGAAAAAAGAAGAGTTCGCAGGTGAAGAAATGAGGGCAAGTGCCGCCGGCAGAGGGAACAGCACATGCAGAGCCAGGGAGCCCATTCTGGGAGCATTCAATTCCACACATTAGTAGAGGTAGAGCCCAGGAATGGGCCGGGGAGGGGAGGCGAACAACAGCAAGAGATAAGGCCAGAGCAGCTGTCATGGCAGACCTGTGACAGGCCAGGAACCAAGGTCAGGAGTGGTTTTTGCACCCCGAAGGCCCTAGTGAGCCATGGGGAGTGCTTCCGGTGGGGGCAGGCCCTGTGATAAAACCTAGAATTGAAGTGAGGGCAGGAACTCCGAGAGTAAGGGCTGAGGGAGTGGACTTAAGACTGTTAGGAAGAAGAACTGAAAGGATTTTCCTTTCGGGATCACAAAACACTAAAATGTCAGAAACCATTAAATTCAATTAATGGTTTTATCCTCAAAGGGAAAACCATTATACCCTGACGATGGAGTTACTCTCATTAAAGATCCTCCTAATGGATCCTACCTTCAGATGACCTCTCAAATCCATCCACTTCTCTCCTTCTCTCTCCTTACCATCCTCCGTCCTGGGCCTTATGTCTCAGGGCTCTTTCTAAACATCCTTGTCTTCCTAGGGACCAACCCATTCTCCACTTACTGGCCGTTAAAATGTACTATCTGATTGGGTTACTGGCCTGTCCAAACCCATCAACCCATCTACTGCTTTTTAGGAGGAAGCCCAGTCTAGGGGATCCCTGGGTGGCGCAGCAGTTTGGCGCCTGCCTTTGGCCCAGGGCGCGATCCTGGAGACTCGGGATCGAGTCCCACATCGGGCTCCCGGTGCATGGAGCCTGCTTCTCCCTCTGCCTGTGTCTCTGCCTCTCTCTCTCTCTCTCTCTGCGTGACTATCATAAACAAATAAAGATTAAAAAAAAAAAAAAAAAAAAGGAAGCCCAGTCTAAGCAACACCTGACTCTGTCCACCATATATCGTGACCCCATCTCCTCCTCATCCAGGGAGGGCCCCAATGTTATGGTGGGCACCCCTCTGTAGGTCACTTTTTACTGCTCCCTGACCCTAGTTAACTCCCCAGTTTGTTCCTCAGAACACACTGTCAGTGTCACTTCCCTGGGGACACCTGCTCTGACCCCTTCACATATTATAGGCTCCCCTGGTGCTTGACTTCATGGCAAGTGCCAACGTTGTCATTCACATGTCCATCTCGATCATCGTTACGTGTCCAGGGCCTAAGGCAGAGCCTGATATGCAAAGACACTCAGTACAGTTTTGCTGGATCAGTAAACAAAACAAAGAATTGTCCATAAAAATATTTAGCTTTTGGGATCCCTGGGTGGCGCAGCGGTTTGGCGCCTGCCTTTGGCCCAGGGCGCAATCCTGGAGACCCGGGATCAAATCCCACGTCAGGCTCCCGGTGCATGGAGCCTGCTTCTCCCTCTGCCTGTGTCTCTGCCTCTCTCTCTCTCTGTATGACTATCGTAAATAAATAAAAAAAATTAAAAAAAAATTTAGCTTCTTTAATCAGCGTTTCATGAATTGGTATAATTTCAAAGCAGGATAATTTCTGACAAGAGGATAGCTTGGTCAAATAATCTCAGAAAGTTTTCAGCAGTGATTCACAGCTGTAGTATAATAAAGGTTCTGAAAAGTCCCACAAAAAAAGAAATCTAACTTTTTTCACATAAACGTTTTCCAAACTCACTTGAATGCACAACGTCCTCCATCCCTTTCTTTCCCAACAGACCATAAGTTAATACCCCACCTTGAGGAGCGCTGAGAACCAACAAGGGTTCTCACTGGACAAGTGTTTTTGAAGGCTAAACTCATCCATAGTTCCCAAACAGATCTGTAGGCCACTTGCACATAGTGCCCAGCCCCCAACCCTTAGAGCTGCCACGGCTGGTTCACCTGGTTCACCGGCTGGGGCCACTGCTTTCTTTTCATGCAGAGGCTCCATGGAAGTGTCTCACTGGTGAGGCTGCACTAAAGGATAGCAGCAGATCCAGGACAGAGGCCAATGGTTTCTGAACTCAGGGTAACTGAAAGTAGAATCTGGACTCTTTCTGGCCTGGTAAATTTCTACATATTTTGTTTCTCACACTTAAAAGAAAACAAGACAATGCTGCGTCAGGATCCATCTCGTTAGTTTACACTGCAGCTAGAGAGCACAAAAAGGTTTCCTCTACAGCAATCGTTATAAGAATAAATGGTCATACTAACAAATCAAAGCTAAAACTAATAAAGTCAATGAAGAAACAGAAGATAGCTTTCTGGCACTTATGAAAATGAAAACATCGAAAAAGGGGTATAATTCATTCACATATTCAGTTGCAAATATAAATGTGTCAGGTCACTTGGAAAGTGATCATTTATGAAGTAGACTCTGAAATAAGACGTAATTCTACCTTCTGACCAAGCAAAGCTGACAACAATCCCCTCTGTACTGCTCTCTCGCCCCCTCAAAACAGGCAGGCCTACCATGCCCCCTCTGCCTCTCCAATCTGAAAACGCCTACTGGCTCACAAGACAGCTTGGCTGAGAAGCCTCACTCCATTCCCTCAGAGAGTCTGTCTCCCTCTTGTACGCAAGGCACTGTGCTCACCTCTCTGTGAGCATCCTTCTTCTACCTCGGACTGACCTTGGCACGTCCAGCTGGCCTCTGAGCAATAGAGGGCCTTCACCAGATGCTGAGAGTGGACAGCCAGCCTGTAGCACACCCACCCCAGCCTAGAGACCAGCAGTGGTGAGGTGGGGGGGCTGGACACTACATATGCATGTGGCCCACACATCCAGTTTTGGGAACTGTCATCACAGGCGATCTTGGCCTTCAAAAACACTTTTCCAGGAAGAAACTCTGGCTGGTTACAGTGACTCCATGATTTCACATTTTCAAAAGAAAATAGCTCCTCGGGACGCCTGGATGGCTCAGCGGTTGAGTGTCTTCCTTTGGCTCAGGGCATGATCCTGGAATCCCATGATCAAGTCCCACATCGGGCTCCCTGCATGGAGCCTGCGTCTCCCTCTGTGTCTCTGCCTCTCTCTCCCTGTGTCTCTCATGAATAAATAAATAAAATATATTAAAAAAAAGAAAAAAAAAAAGAAAATAGCTCCTCATCTTTAACCTTCTTGTGGCAAAGAGTCCTGGAAAAGTTCAGAAACCATCCTAATTCTGATGAATTTTTGAAAACAAAACAAATTAGAGACAAAGCAGTCGAGTTGAGCTCCTAATGTGTAAAAATAACTCATGATGTCACCACCAATTTGGACAAAATTCTTCATTGCAAATGTTCAATACGAGCAGCCAGGACATGAGACAAAAGACAAAACCCAAAAGTTAAAGGCTTTCAGGGTAGATCTTAAATTAGAAAAAATATTGCCATCAGATTTTTAAAAGGTCTTATAGCATGATGTATGATAAATGCCTAATAAAGCTCCAGAAATTTTTGTCAAGAGAAACATGAAAAAGCCAAAAGTGGGGAACTTGCTAAACTGATCAGAGTAAGTTCATAGAAAGGAATACTCTGTAACCAGTAAAATGAGGTTATGGACAATTATTTTTCAACCCTGCTCAATGGAAGAGTTACAATACAGTATATGGGGTATAAGCCCATCTCTACAAAATCCATGTATACTTCCAAATTGTCAACTATAATTATCTCTGGATAGTAATAATGCATGTACTCTCTTTCCCTGTTTTCTAAATTTTATATAAAGAATAAATGTATTACTTTTAGAATAACAAAAATATTTTAAAGTTTTTTTGTTTGTTTTAAGGTCTGCTAAGCACCTCTTGCAATTAAACAACATTTGGTAAAATTCTTCCTGCAAAAGTGGGACAAAACTAGGACAAACACAGGAAACAGTAAATGGGGGACAGGCAAAGAAGAGGAAAGGACCTAACATGAACTTATGTCCGGTGCTTTTCACACAGCATCGTATTTATTCAATCCTCGAATCCAATCCTAGGCTGGGGCATTATCATCCTCACTTTACTGCTGGGAAACACATAGCTCAGAGGGGTAAAGGAGCTGACCCAGGGTCACACAGCTGTTAAGTGGCATCAATGGGACTTGAACCCAGGTCAGCCTGATTCCAAAACCTGAGTTCAGGTTCCTTCCACTATAAAACATTTTATTCCGACATAAAAATTCAGAATGTCGTCTGTAATAAAGCTTTTAAGAAAATGCTGACTACAACAGAGTGGCTATGCTTAGCCAGGAACCCCTCAACAAAAGAAGTCAAGTCAGTATTCAGATCACGGAAAGTCTATTCTTTAGCAGAACACAGACTGGCTCCTAAAATTCTCTTAGCCCATCTTGAAACACTGTCCAGGGCTCTTTTCTCCAATTGCTTTGACTGTCTGTGCCTTCTCTATTTTTGGTAAAACTGTCTGGGTCTTTCACCCATACATGCTAATGAATGAATACCACAAAAGACAAGGAAAAGAGGAAGACAAGGACAAGAGCCCTGTGTCAGATAAATGCATCTGAGATGATCTTAGATTCATTTCTTTTTCTCAATGGCTTCTTGACATTTTAGGATTCATCTATAATTTCTCAGATCCTATCAACAAGGGTGGTAATACCCATGAACATTTGAAAGAGATTTACAGTTTCCAAAGTAGCTTTCACACAATAGCATCTCAAGTTGGGATGCCTGTTAGTATCACTAGCTTATTTTACAGCTGTGAAAAGGAAGGTGATGTGCAACAACTCCTCACTGGGAGAGCAGGGTCTCTGGTCTACTGCTTTTGTCTGCAGTAGGCTGTCCAAACATAGATCCCTCAACCGGCTGCTCCCTCATCATTTGTGGAGCCAATTAAGAACCTAAGTTCTCGGAACTACCCCAGATCAACTGAATCAGAAGCTGAGAGAGTGGGGCTTGGGACTACTCTGGTTAATATGCACCCCCAGGGACACTGACAAGAAGCTGAACTTGAAAGCACTGCTGAAAGGTAGGTCCTAAAAGGCAGGTTCGCCTCTGATCAGCCTGGGCCCTGACAGTATTGCTGGGGTGCCTCAGGGCCTGTCAGGACAGAAGACATAGGAGCGTGTGAACCCATCACCTAGAGGACAAGCAGCGGTACACGCAGCTGCATGAAAACATTTGTCCCTCTGATACAAGGGCACTTGAATGCCATCCCTGAAGAAAGGATACTCACTTGGTGAGGACAATGGAGACTGCGTCATTGAGAATACTCTCTCCAAAAACCAGCATGTTGAGCACTGGGTCCACGTGAAGGGCATTGAAAATAGCAATAGTGGCCACTGGATCGACAGCAGAAATCAGGGAGCCAAATGCAAAGCTGGAAGAAGAGAAAAGGAAGGGGTCACTTGGAATGCTTTATCACTCGGCCCACAAAATAAATAGCAAAGCCAGAGACTGTACTTGGTATAACATGTTGGTACACACTGGAGCTGAAGTAACGACAGGAGAGGGTGTCTTCTCTCCCACTTACGGTATCTCCTGGCAGACCCTGTGCCAAAGGCAGTAAAGGCCCACTCCACAGGCAGTTGTTAGGAACAGCCTGCTTTCCCACCACGAGTCCTAGGACTTTACTGGATTGATAATGGCTGGGAGGACTTTTGCTTAAAATATACTACAGACATCCCAGCCTTCCTTGTCAGAGCAGCCGGAAGCATGATGGCCCAGGGGGGTCTCCCTGATGGGGCCCATGAACCAGAGGTGTGACCTCTGCCTTTCCCCTTGCCACCAGAGTGCCACCTGTGACTGATCGTACCTGCCACTTAGATTTGCAACATGGTCAATAGCAGCAACTCTGGTGTCCTTCAAGGGGATGGATTGTAGACACCAATGCCAGCGCTGCGCCCCACCCCAGGCCAGCAGCGCCCCCTAATGGTGCCCAGGAAGGTGTCATTCTCTCCAACAAAGAGGTATTAATTGCCTGAAATGTTTCAGGCACCGAGGCCAATAATGACAGCTAACATTTATGTCCCAAGCACTGTTCTGAGCACTCACTACTCCACAGATCTCACCACTCCCATATGGGGTGGTACTATTACCACCCTGATTACATAAGAGAAAACTGAGGGACAATAAGGTTAAGTAACTTGTTCGGGGTCAGACAGCAGCTAAGAAGTGGCAGAGCCAGGATCCAAACCCGGGCTGTCCGGCTCAGAGTCCGTACTCCTGACTGCTACACTGGATACAACAGCACCCAGAGACCAAGGCCAATTTGGAAAATAGCAAGCGTTACATGGAAGATCAGAGTGACCTGGCGGGGGCAGGGGGACAGGCCACTTAAGAGTGGCTGGTCAGAAAAGGTCTCTCTGAAGAGATGACACTTATTTAACTTATTTAAACAAGCATCTACGAGACAAGAAGCAGATGGCAAGCCAGGATCTGGGGACAGAGACAGCAGTAAGCTGCTTCTGAGGTGGGAGTAAGCTTGATGGCCTGAGAAATAGAAAGGTAAGCATGGCAGCAGTTCCTGAGGGCGAGTGGCAGGAGATGTCAGAAGCTGGCAGGCGAGGCAGGGCCTCATGGGCCACCTCAGGAGCCTGGAAGGCTCTATCTATTCGCTCCACCTGTTTGTCTTTTTACCCCCAAGAGTTCTTGTGTGCCTTCCAATCCCCTCAAACAACATGCCTAGCACTGCTTTCTTTCTAGCTCAGCAGACAGATGAGGTCTGCCCCCTTCCACAACAAAACAGGGACCCCCAAGGGGGCAGACCTGGGTAGAGAAGGAAGCCAGAGACTAGCCACCTCTGCTTCCTGCCCTCACCACGCTTGGGAAGGGGGAGCAACTCACCCGGAACAGGCGGCGGGCTCTGCCCACTGTAGCTTCCCCAGCAGCCCTGCGCAATCACGTGAGTCTGGGCTCAGGCAGAGCAGAGCCAGTGGGAGGAGAGGCCTAGTTGCCTTGGCCAGCTACAGTTTGCTCTATAAGTCAATAATCTGGCAGCTCCCTGTGTTTGATTAATGTGAACTCGTGCAGGATAGCCCGCTTACCTCAAGGACAGCCTCTGGATCCTTGAGGAGCAGAGCCCGAAAGACAGTCTCAAGTCTCAGTTCAGAGTTCAGTTCCACACTTGCCCCGTCCTCACAGAGGTTGTCACATGTTACCTGCCTCTCGCCCTCACTGTGAGTGCCCAGGGAGTGAGTCCCAGGATCTGTACTGAGTATGGCCTAGAGATATTTGTGGAAGGCAGGCAGGAGGGGGGGAAAGGAGGAAGGCAAGGGGGAGGAGGAAAGGTAATACCACCAGACGACTGCCAACCTGGGGGGCCCTGTTCCGCTGGCAGCCGGCTTTGAGGCCCTCCTGCTGCATTCTCGACACGGAGCTTGTCTCTTCTCCTTGTCTTTAATTCCCACTCTCCTCACTTGGGCCTCAAGGGAAAAGAAGGTCTAAAAAGCATATTCTGAATGCCCCAAAGACAAAGGCAAGGAGGGGGAACCTGGAAGCCTTTGATGGGCTGTGCGTTGGGGGATGTGGCTCCACTGACCCTTCCCTCCATTCCGGGGGACAGTGTGCCTGAGCAGACAGCCACAGTTCTCTGCTCTGCATCCACACCCCTGGTTTTGGTAACAGCACCCCAATTTTCCTTTGGGGAGCCTCCCCTCCCCGCACAGAGTTGCATGGGGCTCTAGGAGCAGGCAGGGGACCCCAGTTTGGTCCAAGAGGGCCACCACCGGGCATTCCACCAGGTCACTGGGAATCAGGTTGGCCCTCGGGCAGAGCTGGCTAGAGTGGGGGCAACATGAGCCCAGAGCCATCAGCGCTACCACGTGGGACAAGTGGGACCAAGGATGAAGCTGGTTGGAAGAGTGCACAGAGACATGATGGGAGGAGAGATCCCTGGATGGCATGGACCCCAGGGGGCCGTCATGCTGGAAGCCATCATTCCAGGACACTTCAGTTCTCTGAGCCAACAACCCTTTCTTCCCCCCCCACACAAAAACTAGTTGTGTTGGGTTTCAGTTGTACTAAGAGAGGCCCAGTGCCATCCTTTGTCACAGTCCCTGTAGCAACCTGAACTGAAACCAGAGCAGGAACCAGCAGAGACTGATGAATGGACAGTGAGATAGGCGGATGGAAAGATTTGGGTTAAAGCAAATGCAGTGAGACAGTAATTGCAGAGTCCAGGAGGTGGTCATTTGGGTGTCCACGGGTATATCCTTTGCCTTTCCTCTATGTTTGAAATTTTCATAATAAAAAGTTGGGCAGAAATGCTTTGCACAAGTCGTAGAACGCATTTAGCTTGGGTTGGGGGGGTATCTATATCGGGACAGAGCCCTCTGGGCAGTGAGCATGACACGTCTCAAGTATGAATGACCCAACTCTTTGAGGTCGGAGTCTCAGGAGTCATGACATTGTGCCATCAGCTGCTCTCCTCCCCACTTTCATGGCTGGTCCTTGAAAGGCCAGGAGCTAAAAGTCCAACTTAAAATGTGTTCCTGAGGCACCTGAGTGGGTAAAGCATCTGCCTTCAGCTCAGGTCATAATCTCAGGGTCCTAGGATGGAGCCCCACTTCAGACTCCCTGCTCAGCGGGGAGTCTGCTTCTCCCTCTCCCTCTGTGCTCGCTCTCTCTCTCTCAAATAAATAAATTAAATCTTAAATGTTACAATAAAATATTACATGCAACAGTTATTTTTATGTTTTCTATTGTGCAGAAGTCTGTGGGTATTATGTTTGACTTACATGGCATTTTGAAAAATTGACTAAGTTGTCAACATTTAAAAACTAGAAAATTCACTATAAAATCTGGCTTCTTGTGAAAAAAAATTTTTTTTTAATATTTAGTAATTTGGGGATCATATTCTCACATGGTGATTACTAGGTAGAGCTGAGAAGTGGCTGTCCCCTTCAAACAGGGTGCACTGTTAGGGTCACCACTGTGGTCACCCCTAGACGCACAGTGGCAGGTCCCTCTGGTAAGCACTCGGCCAGGCCCCATGGCTGTGTGGGTTTGTGACTGCTAGCTAATTTTTCCCAGAGTATCCCCTATCTGGGCGGCAGTCACTTTCTAACAGGAAAGAGAATATCTCCACACGGAGAAGAAAAACCCTACCTGGCTCTTATTCTGCTTTTCTAAGGGACAATTCTTTTCTCTACCTGAATGTCCCAATAAACATTGGTTCAATTCAATTGCATAAGAATTTATCAAGCAGTTTTTGCATCTCTAACCAGTTGCCCCAGAACAGGCTGAAGGACGGAATGCTGTGACATTTCCTTTACATGACTGGTAGGGGCATTTCTTCTCACTTGCAAAATACTTACAAAATGCAGAGTCTTGGTTCTGCTTTATACTTCAAGCTCCTTATGGAATAGGAATGTGACTTTTGCTACTTGTTTATATATCAGGACTATCTTATAACAACAAAAACTCCAAAATTTATGTTCCCGGTAGAAAGATGGGATTGGACTGGCTGTTACCAGAGGCACATTTCCCATGAAAACTAGTCCCCAAGTTACTGAAGGCTGAAAGCTCCAGCCAGCTTGACGGGAGAGATCCGGGACTGAGAACTCAGCCCTGCTTTCTGCCCCCAGCCATACTCCAGGAGCAAGTGCCGATGGTGCAAAAACACAGACCAAGGCCATACACACACTGGACTTCTCAGAGGGGAAACCAGGCCTCACTCTGCTTGTGTACTTTTTTAGCACTAGATCTGGTACTATCCACGAGACAGTGGCCTAGGCTGTTTCTTGCTAAGTTGATTCTGGAAATTCCTGGGCTGCACTCTGAGACAACAGCTCTCAATGGAGCCATAGTAGAGCCCTTGGCCCTGCCTATTTCCCCCACCCTGCCCCATGCCTGGCTTGGCGGGAATCCCAGAAAAAAGATTCTGTACCCCTCACTCCCCACCCTATCCTTCATCTATCAAGAGGACAACTTTTCATTGTGGCCACTGAAAACATTCAGAAATTAGTTGAAGATGATTCTGGATAATAAAAGATGCACTGTGCGGTGTTGAAGTTAACTGACCAGAATTATCCTCTGCAAAGCTTAAATTAAATCAATTATTTCCATCAGCAATGCTCTGACTAGAGATCTTCAAAATTCCACAATATAGTTTTGATTCATTTCAGAGCCACAAGTTAATTTGGCAGAAATCACCAGCAAAACAAAAAGAGAGACTGAATAGAGAAATACCACACCCAGGAATCAATGTGGAGAAAACTATCCCCAGTCTGAAAAGCAGTCACACGGGTGTGACAGTATGAAAGATTTACCTGTCTGTCATGTTGAGTTTAGAGATTACATCAGCCTGTAAAATAAAACACACAAACACACAGACACAAAAAAAAACCCCTGGAGAACAGCCAAGAAGATTAAAATGTCCATTAGTGCTTTATTAGAAACTAATAAGGACATTAATCTTCAGTCCCCAAACCACTTGAAAAATAAAGAAAACTCCAAAGTTTTAGTTTAAGCATGCATTCAACCATTATACAACAAAAGTACGGAAAAGAATGCTACATTTTTCAAGCCAAATTAAGTATAGTTTTCTTCTCTTAAGTTTATTCCCATTTGATGCTAGAAGCTAGAAGCAATGAAGAAGGCTGCATGACAGACAGATTTATTTCTGGTGCCACTGAGGCAGCAGTATAGGTGACAATCAGATGCAATGGGCTTTGGCCAATAGCTACCCACAGAAGCAAACATACCTGACACACATACAAGAAGCCTGCCAGTCACCCAGATGCCTGAGCCTTAAGCTTTTAGTTTATAGAACCGGGGCAGGCAAACTTGCTGCTAGTGACCATAAAGGAAAAGAACTCTGACGTGCATAGGCATGCAGAATGCAAAACTACAGATTTTACCTTTCTGGGTAGATTTGGTTTAAATTAATTCAAATTAATTTGTATTTGAAGTACAGAGTGTCCAACTGATGACACTGGGAATTGGTTTAGCAATGGTGGAAAATCCAGAGTATATAATTCTATGGGTGGACAACTTAGAATTGAGTGAACATATTCAGAATCAAGTGTGATTTTAAAAACGCAAATTTTTGTTAAGAAACAGTATTTAATCCTGATTCAGTCTACTTGATAACACAACTGAAGACCTATAATCTGAAGACCTTGATGGTATATATTCTACTTTAGTTTTAGTATTCTTTCTTAAGAAATTAATGGTTTGCAAATAAGATAAAAAAAAACTTTAGGGGATTATGGAGAAAATTCACTCAATTCCAGACACCAATGCTCTTCGAGGACACTTAGAAACAATTTCAGCATGCCTTTATTGTGCCTCGTAGGAGTTTGGATTTCCTTCCAGGACAGCATTTAACCTTGAACGTGAAACCCAGCCCCACAAGATGTTCCTACCCCACCTCCCTGCACTAGCCCAAAGAATACAAGTTTTTCAGAATTTTTCAAAGATGTTTTTCTTACCTGACCCAGAAAATAAATTCCTCCACCTACTACAAAAGCGGAAATTGCCGTACCGAAGACAGCAAACAGGGTGATGGAACCAATATTTTGAAAGAAGTTACCCTGTTGGAAAGAGTAGAAATAAGAGGACTGCTTAGGGAAGCTGGTCCAGTCAATGAAGGCATACACCCCTCCCCTGGCCCTCTGTACACGTCTGATTCCCTGCAAAAGACCACCCACCTGGTTTGGCAAGCTGGTAACCTGGGAGTCTTCCCTCACCCCCCATCTAATGCAGAGCCAGGTGCTGTGTGGTGTCACCTTCTCCACGTCACTCACATTGCTACAGCCCTTGTGCAAGCTGATAATGCCTCTCCCCTGGACCGCTGCAATAGCATCAACAATCTCAACCAGTGCTGGCCCCTTGCCCTTTACTCTTCAAGGCCTCCCAGAATGATCTTTGGAAAAGCCAAACCTGATTGTGCTATTGCTATCTTCACTCTGACCTCCCACTGCCACTTGGAATGCAGCTAAAATCCAACCAAAGCCTAGACGGTTCTACCCCTATGAAGCCCTCTAATTTCCCCCTTTGTTCTCTGGGTTCTAGTCATACTGGTAGCTTTTGGTTCTTGGAACATGTCATGCTCCCCGGGCTTGGGCCACTCTTTCTTCCCCCTTGCTCAGTGAACTTAAATCATCCTAAGGTCTTAGGGCAGTCTGGCTCTTCCTGAGGGAAGCCTGCTCTGATCCCTCACCCAGGTCAGATTCTATTCTATGCTCTCAGTGAACAATCACCCTCTCCTGGTAACACATGACATGGCTGAAATCTTGTATTCATTTATAGAACTATTTGACTAATGTCTGTCTTTCCCACTAAACTATATAGGCTCAGTGGAGGTGGGGGGGTGGGGGGAATGACCACATCTGCTTTTACACAACATAGTTACTGGCATAATACCTGTCAGATGGAAGATGCCCAATGAATAGGAAGGAAGGAATTAACCTTTCATATTTCATGTCTGATCAAAGTCCAAAGCTTATACAATTATAATTTTTAAATTAATTTTAAGAAGGTGCATACTTTTTAAAAAAGATTTTAGGTAATCTCTATACCCACCATGGGCTTAACCCTGAGATCAAGAGTCACATGCTCCACTGACTAGAGCCAGCCAGGTGCCCCAGAAAAGATGCGTTATTATAAAGAATGTCAAGATAATAGATTACGTGATTAGAAAATCCTGTTTGCTGTCCAGGACTTTCAAATAATCTTATTTTACTCTAGGGGCTCCTGGGTGGCTCAGTCGATTAAGTGTCTCCCTTTAGCTCAGGTCATGATCCCAGGGTCCTGGGATCAAATCTCATACAGGGCTTCCTGCTCAGTGGGGAATCTGCTTCTCCCTCCCCCAGTCCCTCTCCTCACTCATTTTCTCTCTCAAATAAATAAATAAAATATTTAGAAAAACAATAATTCTATTATACTCTCAGTATCTTCTTCAAATATGATAAAATATATTTCCATCTATACCTCATAACATTTAAGAAAAAAATATTTGAGTCCTAGTACCATGGTAATTTCCATAAAAAAATTTTTAAAAGCTACTTATTAGAATCCTGTGGGCTCTACTTAGGAACAATACCAAGGATCCCTAAAACTTGATTGTGGGCACAGACAAGGAATCTCATCTTTTTGCTTAACTAACACACCAGAGACAACAGGAACTGCTATTTTATTTTACTTATTTTTTTTTAAATATTTTTTTTAATTTTTATTTATTTATGATAGGCACACAGTGAGAGAGAGAGAGGCAGAGACACAGGCAGAGGGAGAAGCAGGCTCCATGCACCGGGAGCCCGACGTGGGATTCGATCCCGGGTCTCCAGGATCGCGCCCTGGGCCAAAGGCAGGCGCCAAACCACTGCGCCACCCAGGGATCCCTATTTTACTTATTTTTTAAGTTTACTTTTAGTAATCTCTATACCCAACATGGGGCTCAAACTCATGACTCACCCCGAGATTAAGAGTCACGTGCTTTACCAACGGGGCCAGACACCCCCAGGAACTATTTTATCTATTTTTTTTAATTTTTATTTATTTATGACAGTCAGAGAGAGAGAGAGAGAGAGAGAGAGGCAGAGGGAGAAGCAGGCTCCATGCACCGGGAGCCCGACGTGGGATTCGATCCCGGGTCTCCAGGATCGCGCCCTGGGCCAAAGGCAGGCGCCAAAACGCTGCGCCACCCAGGGATCCCTATTTTATCTATTTTTTTAAAGATTTATTTACTTTGGAGAGAGACCATGTGTGCATGAGCCAGCAGGGGGTGGGGGTGGCCAGAGGGAGTGGGAGAGAGAATCTCAAGCAGACTGCACTGAACACAGAGCCAGACATGGAGCTTGAACCACTGCTCCAAGATCATGACTGAAGCCGAAACCAAGAGTTGGACGCTCTTCTGACTGAGCTGGTCAGGCATGCCAGGGAAGTGCTATTTTGTTTTTTTTTTTTTTAAGATTTTATTTAATTATTTATTCATGAGAGACACGGAGAGAGAGAGAGAGAGGCAAAGACACAGGCAGAGGGAGAAGCAGGCTCCATGCAGGGAGCCTGATGTGGGCCTCGATCCCAGGTCTCCAGGATCATGCCCTGGGCTGAAAGTGGTGCTAAACCGCTGAGCCACCGCTGAGCCACCGGGGCTGCCCGGAAGTGGTATTTTGAAGCTCACTTCAAAAGTTTGCCCCAGTTTAACACTGGCGGCCCCACCAAGCCCATCTCCTTCAGGAAGCTGCTTTGCTTCATTCATTGCAATCTGATTTGGCCACCCATGATCTGACATTCAATTACTTTGTTTGGTATATCAATCTACCATACACAAAGAACCTTAAAATAACTCAGGGCAAACACAATGATTTGTTTTTTTCTAAACTAAAGGCTTTCCTCTGAGTTTTTCTTTGCAAGGAGCTGATTTATTTTGTTGTTAAAATAGATTAAATTAAGTCTTGATCTGTTTATAGGAATCTAATGCTGATATAATTTATGTAGTTGCTTAATATTAACCTGGATATGGAAAATTTACCCAAATTCAAGTTACTATTCAAGAACTTCCCTTTGCTACATAATGTAAATTTATGTTTCTCTTTCAAATAACTAATGGCCTATTCTTTATGTGATATTAATAATTTTAAAGAACCAATAGCCACCTGTCTAATGCATATTAATTGATGGTAATCTTACTGAAATTTTTATTCCAAGTCCAAATTTACATCAACAAATACAACAAGGGCAGCCCTGGTGGCGCAGCGGTTTAGTGCCACCTGCAGCCCAGGGTGTGATCCTGGAGACCCGGGATCGAGTCCCACATCAGGCTCCTTGCATGGAGCCTGCTTCTCCCTCTGCCTCTGTCTCTGCCTCCCTCTCTCTCTCTGTGTGTGTTTCTCATGAATAAATAAATAAATCTTAAAAAAAAAAAAACAAATACAACAATATCAAGGACATCCAGAGTCAATTTCCTATCTTCTTTGGGGAGGGCAGGAAGTGAACAGAAATCTCTGAATTCACATTGCTAAGTCACATTAGTCCCTTTCTCATAATTGTCACATTTTCTGCTGGAAAGCCATCTTTCTTTTTCTAAGAAACTACTATTTTCCCTAAATTTTAGAACAAATTTATCTCCCTTCCTTCCAAAAAATTAGAAAATAAAAATTTTATATGCTCTAATACAATAATCAAAGGGTCAGGTTTTTAAGTAAAATCCAAATCAATCGCCTCAGCATTGTTTTGAAATATTTTCATAATCTGCTTATAGTTAAGATTTGTTTATAAAATGAAAAAATGAAAGACGCTGACTTTTTAATTCCTTCTTACTCATTTCTTTTTAAATTATCCAAGGTCAGTAATAGTTTATAAGACTTGGGAATTTTTTTTTTTTTTTACATTAAACTTCCTTTTTACTTTTTCTTTGGATAGCTACACAATAACAGTTTAAAGTGAATCCTGACTGAACATTTTAGAATTTGGACTGAACATTTTATGCTTTAGAATCCAGGTGGAAAATTAAAGATTTAATTAATATGTTTTAACTAAAACTCTCATGACAAATTTAACTCTTGAGTTTAATAAGCTATTAAAAACAACACTGATTATATTAATAATAGATAATGTTAATAACAAGCACCCTCACCAATCATTTATTGTGGTGGGTGATGCTTTGCAAACATTCCTTCATCTAGTACAAACCTTCAAACAACCTGAGAAGTAGAATTTTAGGGTTTTTTTCATTTTGTTTTTAATTTTGACTTTACTCAGAAGACACCTGTAGGGGGCAGCACGTGATTAGACCTACATCTCTCTGAAAGTCCAGGCTCTACTTTCTTAGAGGCTAGGCCAAACCTTCCAGCTTTCACAATTTTTAATCACATTCATAAAATAACTGATGTATTACTAACATTTCAAGTTGAATACCCTTTTATTTTTAAAACTAAATATATTTAAGGAAAACTCACAGGCAAAAAAAAAAAAACAACATCCCAAACACCCCCTTTCCTTCCCCCCTACACATATATACAAATCAGCTTAAAAGTTAGAAGCTCTGGCCCAGGCAGAAAGGGTCCCATTGGAAGCCAGAGGACAGAGACTAGAAATGCTGGGGCAAAGCAGGGAAGCAGGCAGAGACCAGAGAGGCTGCTCCCCAGGCCAAGGAGCCAAGGATGGGCAGGGGAACTATGGGACTAGGTAATGGGCCAGAAGGAGACTGGGAGTGAGGGGCTATCAGCAGGGAGCTGAGGCCCAGGGCAGGACACTGAGATACAATGAAGGAGGCAGAGGGGCCCCACACTGCAAGTTCAAAGAATCAAAAGGCCTGAGGCACATGTCTCTGTTGTCCCAGGAGAGTCTCTGTCCAACAAGAGGAGTCAATGTATCGTCTGTACACCACATAAAACCACTTTGGTGATCACTTCCTAGGCAAAGTAATCCTTTATGGAAAATGCTAATTAATAAGCCACACTGCCTGAAGCCATGAGAGCAACTCACTGACCATATATATATTGTCTGCTCTTCTCCCTATGTCAGGCAGTGCAGTCCAGCTTCTACCATGTACCCCGGGGTGTTCATGCTGAGCCACTGCTGCTAGGTCAAAACCAGGCTTTTAAAGAGCTTGCCTTACTAACATGGCAGCTACCTAGACTGGTCCTAAAGGACCAATGCATGCTTGAGTCTTACCTTGTGTAATGAATATCCTGACTCAAATATAATAGGAGGAAGCAAGAGGAGGAAAAACATATTTGGACGAAACATTTCTTCTTCCTGTAAATATAAAATGGGTATTTTCAGAAGCATAGAATTTGTGTAGTTACGAAATAAATCCATCAGTAAAGAGCCAAAATAATTGTTCTCTTAGGCCCAGTGGAAGCATGCAATGTTTAAAAGAGTACCTGATGATAAAACCAGGCAGAAGAAACCAAAAACACAACAAAACCTGCATTAAGAAATGCAGGACAGGGGGATCCCTGGGTGGCTCAATGTTTTAGCACCAGCCTTCAGCCCAGGGCCTGATCCTGGGGTCCCGGGATAGAGTTCCACGTCGGGCTCCCTGCATGGGGCCTGCTTCTCCCCCTGCCTGTGTCTTTGTCTGTCTGTCTGTCTCTCTCTCTCTCTCTCTGTGTCCCTCATGAATAAATAAATAAAATCTTGAAAGAAAGAAAGAAAGAAAGAAAGAAAGAAAGAAAGAAAGAAAGAAAGAAAATATAGGACAAGTGATCTTAAGAGGTGACCAGCAAGAGAAACCACAGGATGAACTGCTTCTAAACACACAGTATATGCTTTCCATTCTTTTAAAAAATTTTTACAGAAAGAGGGGGAAGGAGCAGAGGGAGAGGGAGAAAGAGAATCTGAAGCAGGCTCCACGCCCAGCACTGAACCCGATGTGGGGCATGATCTCATGACCCTGAGATCATGACCTGAGGCAAAATCAAGAGGCAGATGCTTAACCTATTGAGCCATCCAGGCTCCCCTGCTTTTCATTCTTTACTAAGGAAAGAAAGTTAATTTTTTTTAAATTTTTATTTATTTATGATAGTCACAGAGAGAGAGAGAGAGAGAGAGAGAGAGAGAGAGGCAGAGACACAGGCAGAGGGAGAAGCAGGCTCCATGCACCGGGAGCCTGATGTGGGATTCGATCCCGGGTCTCCAGGATTGCGCCCTGGGCCAAAGGCAGGCGCCAAACCACTGCGCCACCCAGGGATCCCCGAAAGTTAATTTTAATACAGAAAACATTTCAATTAAAACAGAACACTTTAAAAAATAAGTCCACAAATTGAAATCCTCTGGAAAAAAGGTAATAGTTAAGGCCCTAAAACAATCCACTTGAAGAAAGAGTAAACTCTGTATGTGTTTAAAACAACCCAGCCTTTTCTCTGCCTGTCACAGACAATCGTGACAGAGATTTTCCTAAATCTGGGACTATGACAGAACAGTTTCCACCTGATGCCCTTGTTACTGGGGACACAGCTATAAAGCAAGGCCCTTGCCATGCTTTCAGATTCAAATATTAAGTACCACTAGGAAAGGTATTTCTAGAATATGGCCATCTTTGGAGGAATGAAATGATAATTCCATTTTCTATATTAGTATCTCTAATTGTTGGTGAATTGGGGGAAAAATTCATATTGGTCCTCAAATCCAAAATGACCACACGTAATATAAAGTCTACTTACTATACTTAATTGTAAAATTAGGCCCCCTTTCACATGAAAGTTTTCATGCCACAGTCAGATTTCTTGTCCAAATCCCTGTTTAAAAGAATGGCTAAGTGTATTCTTACAAATGTACAGCTGTTACCATAAAGACTAAAATAACATTCAAAGGCTCAAAATAGAAAGCAAATGACTTCTGAAAATGCCTTATTAAGTCTTAAAATAACTGCCCGTGCAACAAGCTCATGACTCAGACTGGGACCATGTGAAAAGAAATGGGCTGATTTCTGTGTTTTGTGGGGCAACCTATTCTCAGGATATGTGTGCGGTGGGACCACCATATAGATTCTTTTGGAGTTTCAGAAACTGACCTTCCACCTTGGCCCCAGGAAAAAAAGAGAACCCACCTGCAGTGGGTTGCACGGGTTTTACAGGCTTAATTCATGTCCACTTGGAACCCCAGAATGTGACCTTCTTTGAAAATAGGGTCTTTGCAGATGTAATTAAGGGAAGAGTCCAAAGGAGATCAGACTGGATTAGAGTGGGCCCAAAACCCAGTGACAGTGTCCTTACAAGAGATAGGAAAGGACACACAGACACAGAGGAGGAGGACATGTGAAGACAGGGATGAGAAACAGATTATGCTGCCACAGCCAAGGAACACTTGGGACCATCAGAAGCGGCAAAAGCCAATCACTGATTCTCCCCTAGAGCCTGGATTTGCTCCCCAGAGGGAACACAGCTCTGCTAACACCTTGATTTCAGATTTCTGGTCCCCAGAACGATGGAAGAATAATCTCTGTGGTCTTAAGCCCCCCAGTTTTGCTACACCAGCCACAGGAAATACACATCCTACCTTACAATGAACAGTGTTACAGAAAGATCCCAGGTTCTTTTGGCAACATCTTCCCCAAAATGATATGAGGTAATTTTAGATGGTACCTGAGCAGTGTATGTCAAATACCACAGACCTGTCAGATTGAAAAAAACCTCTTTTGATTCTTTTCCAGTCCCAATGAACTCAGACACCACAGGTTGGAGTTAGGGCGTGTAAAGCCTCTCTCCAATGTGCTGATAGCCCTTTTATTTAACAGAGCAGGCTTGACCTCAGAGGCTTCAGCAGGCATCTGTATTACTTTGCTTTTATCATATTTATTTATAAAAACAATACTGGTTTCCCACAGTATTATAACCTGGTACTATAGTGTCTCCTTTAAAATAAATGTATATAGTATACCAGTGTTCACAGGAGCATTATCCACAATAGCCAAAAGCTAGGAACAACCCAGCAGCCCATCAACAGATGAATGGATAAACAAAGTGTGGTGTATACCTACAAAAGAGTATTATTCAGCCGCAAAAAGGAAGGAAATTCTGACACATGCTACAGTATGAATGAACCCTAAAAACATCACTTTAAGTAAAATAAACCAAACACAAAAGGACAAATGTTGTATGATTCCACGTACATAAGGTACCTATAGTACATAAATTCATAAAGATAGAAAGTAGAATAGAGGGTTCCTAAAAAAACAGAAAATACTAAAAAAAAAAAAAAAAGAAAAGAAAAAAGAAAGCAGAATAGACTGTGGGCGGGGGGGACTAGGGAGTTTTTTACCAGGTAGATTTTCTGTCTGGGATGATAAAACACTTCTGGAAATAGATAATGTGATGATTATACAACATTGTGAATGTATTCAGCTACTGAAACATATACCTAAAAATAGCTAAAATGATATGTTTTATGTTAAATATACTTCACCACAACAAAAGCCTTTACAACAAACTGCTACAATATATATAAATATATATGTAAAAACCAAGTTGCTTTCAAGAAATAAATATTTAAGTGTATGACAATACAGGTGGAAGGCAGGCCCAGACAGTCTGGCAATAGAACTGCATGGAGAGAACACCAAACTCCTTGTTTTTTCTTATCTCCCCCCTGCTTCCTGCAGCATTCAGTTTCCAAACAGGTGTCCTGCTTCCTGCTTCAGCTTTCCACAAACACCTGTTCCTCCAGGAAGCCTGGCCCAACTGTCCTGGCCTAGAAACCTCCCCCTTCTCTGAGGTCAAGCCCAGATTGGATGGCTCTTTGGGCACTTTGTTACATTGACCACCCAACTCTGGTTTACTTGCCTGTGCTATTAAATATACTATTATTTAACATCCATTGAAAAATAAATTCAACAAAATTGAAGCATATAAAACTGAAAATGGAGGACAATCTCCCCTCCTTCCCCCTGTCCCCACTACTCAGAACAGGGGTCACCAACTTGAGTGGTTCCCCAGGCCACACAACATTCCCCAGGGAGCAGCTGCTGGATCTCTGCAGAGCGGCATGTGGGCCTGATGTTAAGAGTTTCTGCTTCTTCAAGGGAAGCTAGAAATTCAGGTTTTTATGTGAAATTTCCAGCATTTTATATAGATTGGCAATATTTTAAAATAAAACAATTTCTAATTGTTTAAAATCAGTTCCAATTTTGAGCAACTGATTTTAAGTCAAACAAAATGTGTTAGGAGGTTCCCTCTACACACCAGGCTGTATGTAGGAGTAGAGAAAGGATTACAGTCCCCTGCCCTAAAACTAGCCACTGTGAGGGTGATTAACATTAACCAGTTGTAGTAGGGCAGAGATTGGGCAGGCCCCACTGAAGTACAGTGGGGCCTGCTCAGTCTCTTCCCCAGCTGGAGGGAGATCTATAATAGCAAGAGCTCAATGTGTATTTTAAGAATCCATTTAATACATACAATATTTCCTGAATATTATTTATAACAGTTTCAAATTGTGTTTTAGGTCAGTTTATGTGGCTTGTTTTGCAAATTTTATGCTCTACAGTTTCATAGATAAATTAATCCTAGCATCTAGGAGCTGAATCAAAATAGGAGGGGTTTGGATGTGATAAATTTTTGCTACAAAATATTCTTTAATGTTTTGAAATTAACCTTATTTCCCTCCACACAATTTTGTTATATGTTTTTGATTTTTTTTTTTTTTTTTAAGATTTGACACAGAGACAGAACACAAACAGCGGGAGCAGCAGGCAGAGGGAAAGGGAGAAGCAGGTTCCCTGCTACACACTTTTTAAAGCTCTGTACTCAACATGGATGCACTAGTTTAGGTTGAAATTTGAGTTTCAATTAGTTCTTGTACCATAAGATGATACTCACATGCTGACTTCTGTGTGAACACGCCGGTACGAATGCCCACACACTGAGGACAACATGGTATAGTGGAGAGAATACAGAATACACAGGGCCAGAGGGTCTGGCCATAAGGCTCAACTCAGCCACTTTCTAGCTCTTTGATGTTGGACATGTCTCAAACTCTCTGTGGTCACTTTCTTCATTCATGAAAACACAGTGATGATAATATGTGGTCAATTTACCTCACATGGTTGATATGAGGACAACACGAGCTACAGTATAGAAAGCATTCTGTAAGCTCTACAGGGCTGAACAAATCTGTTTTATTGTTAGCTGGCAACAATAACCACTGATTGATATTTAATGCTAATTAAAGATTTCCTCCCCAGACAGCAGCAGGTGAGTCTAAGATTATGCAAATGCAATTAAGTAACAAAACATGACACCAGGTGCTCCCACATTAACTTGAAGCAGTGTGAGACTCAAGCTTTTTCTTTTTCTTTTTTTTTTTTTTTTTTAGATTTTATTTATTTATTCATGATAGACATACAAAGAGAGAGAGGCAGAGACACAGGGCGGAGGGAAGAAGCAGGCTCCAAGCCGGGAGCCTGATGTGGGATTCGATCCCGGGGCTCCAGGATCACACCCTGGGCCAAAGGCAGGCGCTAAGCCACCGAGCCAGCCAACCAGGGATCCCCAAACTTTTTTAAAAAAGTCAGATGTTGGGATGCCTGGGTGGCTCAGCAGTTGAGCATCTGCCTTCGGCTCAGGGCATGATCCTGGAGTCCTGAGATGGAGTCCCACATCGGGCTCCCTGCATGGAGCCTGCTTCTCCCTCTGCCCATGTCTCTGCCTCTCTCTCTCTGTGTCTCTCATGAATAAATAAAATTTAAAAAAAAAAGTCAGATGTAAAGATATCAACCCTAATCCAACGGAATGTTAAAAAATTAGTGGGACAATATAAAGTTTACTGATGGTCATGTAATGATAAGCCATCATAACTAACCATCAGTGTTACTAAAATTAAGGATAATCAATAAAAATTTTAAGTATGTTCAAAAATCAACAGGCAAAAAACAAAAAATCAACAGGCAAACCTACCTTCCAATTTGCCAATTTTTTGAACTCTATAATTTTTATAACTGCTCCCATGAGAATACCTATAAGAGAAAATATAAAGTTTGACATAACTTATGATATGAGAAAGATTACTCAGGTTTATTTTCCTAGAAAAACTGATTATTACGTCTTTAAATAGCTTTTATGGATTTCCCCAAGTTTTCAAACTGAAAACGTAAGAATGGAGATCAATGTGAAGTTCCGAGTCACATCTTAGACAAACATACTATAATGAAGTCAACAATGGCAGTGGGGGGGCATGCAGCTTGGGAACAAAAAGCTTGACTGAACAAGCCCTAAGGACAGTCTGCTGGGCACAGAAGATTTAACTGGTCAGTTTTGGTACACCCACTCATTTTCAATGTGAAATGACAGAAAGCTCACATGCCAAGTTTCCTCTATACTGCTTATTCTTATCATTTCTGAACAAGAATCTGAGATCACTTTCTTAGATTCAGATGGCAGTTCTAGGCAGAGTATTTAGTTAGAGATAAAACCCCAATGCTAAAAATAACCTAAAGTAAAAATTCTGTGAAATTCCTGGAACAAAACAGACCATCTAAGTTCAGGCATGTTTCCTTAAGGCTGACAGGCTCATTACTCTCTCATAAAGAACCTACCAAAAATAATTCTCAAAGAAGCATCACGGGTACAATTTATGATGGCTCTGTTACTCACTAGATAAATGATTTTTAACCCTGTTGACTCATCAGAATCATCATGGGAACTTTTTATAAAATAAAGACACCTGAGCAGCACTCTGGACCTATTAAATCACAATCTCTGGTAGGGGCTGATTCAAAGCAAGTCTAAAGGCCACTGTCATAGACCCTAAAAGTCAAAGACATCTCCCCCACCTCCTGCCCAGAGGAAGGAGCTTTTCCCCACGAACAACAGAAAGATGAAACACACTTTGTTACTATGTCTGATGGGGGTGGGAGGAAGAGACAATACTAGAACAGAGAAGTTTATCAGGAAAAGGAAGTGCACATCACTCACTTCTGTGGGGGAGGGGGTTGCAGGTGGAGAGGAGATAAGTTTAACTTTATAAACCTCTATACTATCTGAATTGTTCCATATTGTTAAAACTATAATAACATTACTCTGAAAAAGAGACCAAGTCAAAATAGATCTGGGGTGTAAAGAGGGTCAATGAATCTATTTTCGAAATAGAAGTTGTCTATTCACTTGCCAGGTGGCATGAAAGCACTGATTCCAAACTCTCCAGATAGAGCTTCCCAATTGCTTTTTTTCTTACCTTTTCAAATTGTGTATATATTTAAGGACTTTTTAATACAATTGTTTATTAACCAAATAGCTCATGAATACATTGTAAAATGTTGTAAATAAAAGACCCTTTTGATGAGATCCCACCCCCCATTCCCACCTTAGTGCTTTCTCTTCCTGCCCCAAGGTAAGCAACCATCTCCAGGAGTTTGGGAAACATTCTATCAGATCATTCTCTAGCCTCTGACATGTTTATATTTAACATACAGTACTGTGTTTATGTACATATGGCACACCTGTGTGTATTTATATAAAATTTACAGTATGTAATGTGTCATTCTACTATTTGCTATTTTGCTCAGTGTTAAATCCTGGGAGATGCACTCACGGATTATTACATATAGATCGGCCTCATTCCTTTGAACAGCTCTGCCTCATAGCATAAAAATGCCACACGTTTAACAGATATTTCTCCAAAGAAGACATACAAATGGCCAACAAGCACATGAAAAGACGCTTAACATTGTTAGGGTAATGCTAATCAAAACCACAATGAGCTCTTCACACTCCTAGAATAAAAAGACAGGAAAGCAAGCACTGGCAAGGGTTCAGGGAAGCAGGAGCTTTCATTCAGATATTGCTGGTAGGAATGTAAAATGTCACAGTGGTTGCTGTGACAAAACAGTTTGGCAATTCCTGAAAAAGTGAGAGTTACCATATGACCTGCAACTCCACCCAAGAGCCCAGAAAACATATGCTTTTATAGGAACTTGTACACGGATGTTCATTAGCACCGTTATTCACAGTAATCCAAAGGTGGAAGCAACGCAAATGTTCATCAACTGATGAATAGAGAAACAAAATGTATATTCACACAATGGAATATTATCTGGCAATTTAAAAAAATGGGGCACTGATCTATGCTACAACGTGGATGAGTCTTGGAAACATGCTAAGTAGGGATCCCTGGGTGGCTCAGTGGTTGAGTGCCTCCCTTTGGCCCAGAGCATGATCCTGGGGTCCCAGGATCGAGTCCCACGTCAGACTTCCTGCATGGAGCCTGCTTCTCTCTCTGCCTGTGTCTCTGCCTTTCTCTGTGATTCTCTCATGAATAAATAAAATGTTTAAAAAAAAAAAAAAAAGAAAGAAAACATGCTATGTAATAGGGGCCAGGCACAAAAGACACATATTTTGTGATCCATTTGTACAAAACATGCAGTATAGGCAAATCTATAGAGACAGAAATGATTGCTTTGGACTGGGGAGGATGGTTTGGGGCTCATAGCTAAAGGGAAAGGGGTTTCTTTTGGGGAAGATGAAAATTTTCTAAAATCAATTGTTGTGATAGCTGTACAACTCTGTGAATATACTAAAACCCACTGAACGGTACACTTAAAATGGGTAACCTGTATCATATGTGAATTATATCTCAATAAATCTGTTATTTAAAAAAAGGCCACAGATTATATGATTCCATGTATACAAAATGTGTGGAATAGGCAAGTCTACAGAGGCAGGAAGGAGGTTGGTGGTTGCCAAGGGAAGGGGAAAGGAGAGAATGGGGAATGACTGCTAATAGGTAGAGGGTTTCCTTTTGCAGTGATGAAAATGTTCTGTAATTAGATAGTGGTGATGGTTGCACAATCCTGTCATTCTACTATATTCAGTGAATATACTGAAAGACACTGAATTGTATGCCTTAAAACTGTGAAGTTTACAGTATGTGAATTATACTTTAATTTTTTTTAAAGTCACAATTTTTTTTTAACCATTCAGCAAATAATAGCTGTCTCCAACTGTTTGCTGTTAACAGTGGTCCTGCAACGAACACAATGGTTCAGGCTGCTTTGTGTAAGTGTTTCCAGAGGGCAGATCCAGAGACAGTGAAAGGCATGAACATTTTTATCTCTTGAGAATGTTGCCAAATTGTCCTCCAAAGTGGTTGCACCAATTTACACTGCTGCTCCAGAGCATTCCCACATTCTCACCAACCCTGGACAGTCATCAGACTAAACATTTCTGCCCCACGGGATGGGCAAGAAGTTGTTACATTGTTTCACTTTGCATTGGCAGTTAATCTGCATTCAGTAATCATTCCTGATTACTAGAGAAGCTGAACCTCTTTTCACGGTTTCAGATTTCATTTTCAAAGCTAGTGTTTTTCTGCTCTACTACAACTTCAACTTTCTCTTTCCCTTGTAAATGTATAACACCATGGTTAGTGCTTTGTAATTACATATGAAACAGCTGCATTCGAAAATCATTATTCTTTTTAAAAGATTTATTTATTTATTCAGGAGACATAGAGTCAGAGACATAGGCAGAGGGAGAAGCAGGCTCCCCTTGGGGAGCCTGATGCGGGACTGGATCCTAGGACTCTGGGATCACGCCCTGAGCCAAAGGTAGATGCTCAACCACTGAGCCACCCAGGCGTCCCATGAAAATCATTATTCATAGTTATCTATTATATCTATCTATTATAATCACTATCATTCTATTGCCTAAGCTTGCTTCTATATTATTATTTATGAGGCACTAGAAAGCTTTGTAAAATACAATGTGATATTATCACTACTACTGTTACTACTATTTCCTGAGCAATCCTTTCTAGATGTCTTAGGACTAAAATATCATGCAGCCTGAGATTAGCAGCTTCCCCTTTTGAGACTGAGGTTCCAAGTTAGGTCAAATCAATCTACTCTCCAGGAGGAATTCCTACCACACGACTAGCTACCAGATGGAAATAATGCCCTAGTTACAATTTTGTATATTCTTACCAGTAAAAAGAATGTAAGCATATATAATCTCAAGTTATAAATTTTTATCTCTTATTAAAAAGCACTGCTACTATATTAATATATTTGAAAGTGTACACACAAAACAGAGTTTGTAAAAGAGTGAAATTAAAGAGAAACTCAAGGGACGTCTGGGTGGCTCAGTGGTTGAGCATCTGCCTTTGGCTCAGGTCGTGGTCTGGGGTTGTGGGATCAAGTCCTGCATCAGGCTACCAATGGGGAGCCTGCTTCTCCCTCTGCCTATGTCTCTGCCTCTCTCTCTCTCTGTGTCTCTCATGAATAAATAAAATCTTTTAAAAAAATAAAATAAAAAAATAAAACAGAAACTCAAGTTCTTACATTTTCTTCTGCCCCCAATAGATCCTGATGCACACACCTCATTATGGACATCATTGTATTAACTCAAAACATTGGGAACAATTCATAATTATTTGTTGAGCCCCTTCTCCTAGGATTTGACACTTTAAATTATTTCTAATCCTCAAGAGAATGTTTCAGGTAGGAAGGCTCAGAGAGTTGAAGTAATCTGTGTGATGGCTCAGGGTCAGCTAGGGACACTGGACATCCTAACACTTCATGATGCTAAGACAGAGGCAGACTATACTGCCCCAGCCTGTCTGCATAGCTGTTATAGCCTATGAACCCTCACCTCTCTCCCAGGGTGCTCTGCCCTACCACCATCACTGTGCAATGTTCCTAATAATGTTACAGGAAAAATGCTTAAGATATCTTAAGGATGATAATCAGGTTGCAAAACAGAATGTAGAACATGATCTTAATTCCCTTGAAGAGTAGATATATATGTACATATATATATTTATTTGCCCTATGTTAAAAAGAGACACACACACACACTTTACATCCAGACACTGTGCTGATGTATAAGATACACATTATTTTAGTTCATCCTCACAACTACCCTGCAAGGCAATAAACCATAATAATATAGATAATATTAAGAGCAGCAGCTAATAGTCATTGATTACTTAGCAGGTCGGCATTATACTAAGTGAATTCTA